GAGGACAAAAAGAAAAGATGACACGAATGCGCGCGCGCTCTTTCGCCAAGTGAACAGCGTATCGCGAGGAGAAAGTTCTCTCATCTTTTGTGCCGCGCCTGTATTAAATTTCACGCGTCCGCGCGGCAATCGAATATAGATTGAAACGTCATCGCGTTCGCGGGACAAAAGCCTCGGCACGCGGGATTGTGCGGCGCGATGCTTTCGCCGGTTATATGGGACGATCAGTTTTAATCTATAATTGAATACACTTCGACATGGTAAAATTGAATGTGGGAGGAGCGACGGAAAGCGCACCTAACGCGATCCCCTAAACGCCGCGATCAATAGGCTGAAACCGCTTCGATGGAATTCAGGATTTACGCGTCGCATTTGAATAGGTCGCTTCGTTACGAAGGAAACGAAACTTTGTTCGACCTCAAACGTGTCGAGCGAGCCTCGAAGCATCGGAATGAAAGTTGAGAATCTTTGAGAATTGTCGCTGCTATCAGAGTCTTGGATAGCTTCGGAAACTTAGGGGACATCTTTAGTGTCTATACTTTTTGCCCAGTTTCTGCAGGTGTAAACAGACGTTGCACTCAGGTTCGTAGTCCCGGACAGAAATTGAGCGGAAAAGGTTTGCGTTTTACAGGGATGTTTAGACATGCTCGAGAAGTGGACGCAGGACCAGGCGTTGATACTGCTGTCGGTCGGGCTGGCCGTGATTTTCGTGGAGGTGGGCGCTTTGCTGAGCACGTTCTTCGCCTGTTCGCGGGGCGGCAGGAGGGCCAAGTCCCGAGCGTCGACGTTTACGTCCACGCAAACGTTGAGCCCGTTCAGCGAGAGCGATCACGATTTCGGTAAGAACTTTCGGCCCCGTTTGTCCCGATTCCCTCGGCAGACGTTCGATCTGTCCTTCTACGAGAGTGTCGTTGCATTATTCATAGGCATGGGGATTGAGAATCGGATGCACGCGACGGGGACGACGTTCGGCGCCAAGTCTTGAAGGTGGCTAGAGGGCAGTGAGGGTAAATCGCCGGTCGAGGTCAAGAATACAGACACGAGAACCGTAACCAATTTATCTAGGCTGAACGACGTGTCGCGATTCAACCGGAGCATAATCGAGGAATGGAAGAACCCCGGGAAGTTCACCGACGTGCTGCGGAGCGACCAGCTGTACGAAGAGCGCGCGATCGACGTGCCCAACCATCCTTCCCACCGGAACCACGCGAAGAAAGAGGATAACGGCAACGAGGACAAGAAGAGCACGATCAAGTCGAAGACCCAGAACAACGCTACTGTCAGGAGTATCCCGATCAAGCACTATCAGGCTTCGATCGCGCACAACATCGGCACGCTGAGAAGGTCCGAGGCGCCGCAGTTGCAGTTCGAGTCCTCAACCTCGGAGACCGAGAGGAATCACTGCGTCCCGAAGTACAAGACCGCTTCCACGAACGACGTGTCCTGCGCCAGGAACGAGGCCGATTTCCAAGTCCCGCGGCCGATTCACTTCTCGAAACACGCGGACCCCGCGAACCCGATACGCAGGTCTTGCCACTCTTGCGACTACCAGCGCGAGACGCAGACCGGGAACAAGAGAGTCGCCTCCAAGTTGAAGACGCTCGATCGGAGGATAGTCAGGAGCGAGCACAACATCTCGAGTCGGGACGACGAGGACGTCGGCAACTTCGACGAGTACTTTCACAAGACTGGCTCTCGAGCGACGATCGCTGGACGCCCGAAATCGTACGACGCGAGGTCCAGGCAGCAATGCTGGGACGAGGCGGAGGAAGATGGAGGGAACAGCCATTCGAGGGACGAGGAGGGCCGTTCGTCTAGGAAATGGGGGACGATCGATCTCGAACGCGGCCACGTTGGCCAGAAGATATCGGCGTACGAGGAAAACGCGCGGCGAAGTGGTCGCAACTGGGACTTCAGCGACCGGTACCAGATACTTCCGGACATCAAGAAGCACAGGACCATAGGGGTGCCATTGGTAGGTATGCACAACGCGTGCGGCTTGCCAGTGGTAGCCTCGTGGCCCAATCACGAGCTGTTGGAGCCGCTGAGGGTGCGGAGCAGAGTCATAGGAACGCTGAGGCCGATCTTCAAGAGTCCTCGGACATCCGAGGTTCTCCATCGAACGCATCCCAAGAGGAGGGTACCGCAGTCGAGTCAAACCTTGTCCAGGAGGAAGCGTGTTCCGGATGTGAAGGATACCGAGAGGCAGGTCGACTGTCCGTCGGTGAAGTCGTTAGTTTCGTTGGGCGCCGGAAGCTGCGAAGCACGCAGGAGAAGGAGGAGGCGACCTTCGTTCAAGGCGAAGAAGATTGGGACGTTTTCGTCGAAGAACTCCATGAGGCACACTTGCAAATCGCACATAAAAAGGAACAAGGAAAATTCTGTACCTGGTAGGAACCGTAGGAAATCGCTCGACGCTGAGAACGCGAAGAGGCAAACCTTGTACGCGAGGGACGACGGCGACGACGCTGTGCAGGTCCTGAAGAATCTGTGCTTGAATCCTTTAGCTCGTACCAAGTCGGAAACTGATATGATCTGGTGATACATGAAAGGTATTATTTCCATTCGAATGATCTATAGATGCATATATATATAATTCCTGAATTATTCTGTAAACCTTAATCAGAGTGGACCGGTAATGTTTCATTTGAAGCAAAGACTGTTTCGCTGTGCGTTAATCATGAAAGAACGTAAAATGCACACACACGGTTTTACTGTATTCATGTGTGGCTATTGAATGCTTTGTAAATATGCTTAACCGATGTATCGATGTATTGTATTCTTGAGTGTCGAAGTAAAAGAAGCCCTTGCTACCCTCATTACAGGGATCGAAGTATGCGGTAGTTATATATGATTTAACGCGTTAAATGAGCGTATTCTGAAATCAAGTATTATGAATCTGTAATGTTGTTATGTTATGAATATTATTAAAGTAATACAAAGTAGGTATCACAATGGTTTATTGAACTCCCTCGAAACTTCGAAGAAACTTTGTCTGTATCTAGTATCCTTGAAAATAAACAATTTTTATTAATATCAGACAGTTATCACTGATAAATTTATCGAAAAATCTGATGTACTATTTTATTTGAAAATAGCAGGTGAGTAGTGGCGAACAGTCACGAACAGTACCGAACATTGGCAAATTATGGCGAGCAACGATGATGGATGCGATTTTTAATGGTTCTCATGATTCTTTTTTATCCTGATGAAAAATGCTTCATTTATATAAACTGTTAACTGTATAGACCAATCACACATTCTTTAAAACACTGACAAGAATATATTATTTGATTACATGTGTGCGCCATTTGCATAACCTATAATGTGGAAACGAAAATGTTTCACTTAACTGACGTTTAGCATATATTTCGTACAATAATCTATTATATATGTATATATAAATATGGCACCTTTATAATTAATATTTGATTAATATTTAATAAATGTTAAATTTCCAATCAGAATAGTCCAATTAGATACTTATGAGAAACAATTGTTTTTGTTTCAATTTTTAAAAATGCTACAAGAATATTGTATCGTGAAATTAAGTAGTAATAGTGGTTAATAAGTATTTTACAATGATTTTTGACTATTAATTATTTATTTTATACTTTTTAATCAATATACGTATCTTTAGTAGAATTACTTGTACATATTTACATTAATTTTTAAACTAGATGGTAAATAAGTCAGCAAAATGTAATTAATTACTTAAGAATACGAGGAAAAGTGAAATTGTACAAACTGATTTGTGTGAATATAATATGTATTGCAGCTCTGCTTGTATACATAGTATTTACGCAACAGTTAGTGTTTGCGATGGAGCAACGAATTTCTTAGTGGTTTGAGTCGCTCAGTTTTTTTTTTATTTTTTGTATATTTTTACATGTTTTAACTGGATATACATAAAATCAGGAGCATCGCAAAATACAATATTATAATTAAAATAATGAATTCGGTAGTGATGTCAAATCTTCATGGATTGACATTGTTTGTGTGGATCGTATCTATTCTAACCTCATCTATCAGCGATGAACTTGAAACAGATGGTACAACACGATTATTGACAAATAAAAGTTTCAACAATGTATCGCCCGAAAACAACCATCAGGCTTTATCGTCTGATAAGCCTGTTTTCGAACCTAATAACTCAGCTCAAATATACAGAGTAAGAACTCTTTAAGTCTTTCATATGTTCACATTAACAAGTAAACAGAGTTTCTTACATTAATACTTTGTTAATATTAGTTATAAACTATTTTATTTAAATTGTTGTATATCTATTCATATTCGTACCATATGAATATTTTTTTACTTGAACAAAAAGGTATCAGGAAGTATTTTATTGCTTAATGAATAATTGCTACCAATGTATTTAAAATATTTGGTAGAATACTCTATACAGTAATTACAATTAAATATAAAGTTTAAATTTATATAAATGTTATTTCAGAGACATAATGACACCTCTTCATTAATGATGGGAGAAGGTGGTCCAATTTCAGTTGGTTATACAACACAGCTTGCATCTTCAACTGCTTTATATTCAACCAGCAATTTTGACAATCGAAACATAAGAAATAATTTCTCAGCAGAGAAAGATGCTGTCGTAAAAGTTTCAGAAAGAAATATTACTTCTAAGATAGTGCCAAGAAAAGGAGCAACTGAAACATTAAACACAGAAAAAGAAAATATTGCCATTGAGAAATCAATAATTAACAATATAAACTCAACAGTTGAATCTTCTACAGCAACTATTAGCTATAGTAATGACAAACATACAGATAATAATTTGAATCATTCTAAATTAGTTATTTCTGACAAAGAGAAAAATCTTTTAAATATTACTGCAAACAACACATTGCAACCAAATGTAAATACAACATTACAACGAGAAGTAACAGCCAATACAACTATGACAACAACTCTATTTAAGGAACATAAAGCAAAGCCAACTGTAACAGTAGGCGAACGTAATAACGATAAGAGACCACTTATTTCACCAACAAGGCAACGTTTGGGATTGCCAAAAAGAATAGATTATGTTTTCCAAGTTATTATTGCTCTTATAGCTTTGCCAGCATTAGGTGCTATTCTTTTTATAGTGTATAAGCAGGGTAGAGATTGTTGGGATAAAAGACACTATCGCAGAATGGATTTTCTTATTGATGGAATGTATAATGATTAACATTTACAAATGTAATATCTTTCAGGAATTTGGATCATAAGATTACTTCCATTTGTGCAATATATTATATATAGAATATGTTTCCAATGTCCATATGAAATTATACACACAGAAGTGTTTGTAACATCCTGTAATTACAGTTTAATATGTATGTATTGGAGACACTCTATATATAAAATTCTGATATACTATTTTGCCACTATAACTTTGATGAAGCGAACCATCTATATTTAGAATTGCAGATATATATTACGCCGCAGCTTATTCTATATACAATATTATTTTATTGTACTACTGCCTTATGAGATTTATTATTTTATATATTTTATGAACATGTTTGCATACACATTGTTTATATTGAATTTCAAAATTCGTATGCATGTAATTTTAAATGAATGGTATACGCGGAAGACAATATAAAAATAACAACAAATTAGATAAGAAAATTATAAAAACAAAGGTATTCAATAAAGCCTACAAGCATAGAACTTTAAAAAAGTATTGTTTTCAGGGCGAGTAAAGTTATATTTGTTTACATTATGTACATCATTATAACTCTTGAGATTATTTTTCATAAGTATAAAATATAATGGCAAAATAATTTATAGATAATTCGTTTTAGACTAATATAATGTTGAAGATCTTGAAATTTAGAATTTAATAACAGGGTTAATGTTATTGTTGAATTAATATCTTCTTATTTTCCAAGCCTTTCTAAGAAGATTTCTCATAACAGTAATGTTTCTGATTTTTCTCACTAAAATTTTATTATGTTATTCAAGTTTCGTACAATATATTTTGTGTTATTTTACAAATTATAAGCTAATATCTATCCCACCAAAGAAGCGTTTGATTTATGTAACAACAATTTTATAATTGCTTGTAAGGACTGCCTTTTGTCAGTGCATTTCTTTTTTTCTTTTAATTATTATTATTGTTAAGGTAGATTCTCCTACATAATCCATAAGAGTTGCGATATGCATTTTAAACGGAGAGTGAGCAATATTCATAGAAGTCTCATACTGTTGCAAATACAAGGAATAATTTGTGCAATTATACCGTATTATAACATTTTCGCGATTGTTATTTATAAGGAGGAAATTCTGTGCGGAAATTCCTTTTTGTTTACTGTTCGTAAAATTTCTATTTTGTCTAAATGTGATAAAGCAATAACAGCTATTTTTATATATGTATGTAAAAAAAATCATATTGTTATAAAATATAAACACATACAATTAAAATTGTTTAATTTCTTTACGTATACAAAACAAAAATGTCACCACACTCGATTATAAAATTTTATTAATAAACACGTTGTGCGAATATGTACATAAAATCAGCAGTGTTGTAATCTCATATAAATTGCAAACTTCGTATTGTTAATTGAAGAAACGTTGTCGTTTAATACAATAACTAATGAATAGTAGAGCATCGATTTACGTTTATTGTTTAGATGAATCTTTCTCTCTTCATACGAGGAAAAAAAGTGTCGGAGGAAGTTAATTCTACGATTTCGCCAACACACACTTTTCGTACAGACAACATAAAATTTACAAAAATACGATTGTTTGTATCGATGTCTCTAAATTTCACTTAATTTATTTTATAAATTTAAAGCTTCAGAAGTGCATAATCATCGATGACACATTACAATACCATAATCATAATTTCACCTTAGATTAAATTTGTGTTGAGTTATTGCTTTTATTATGGAACTGAATATAAAAATAGTAATTGTCATAAACAGTTTCGTCGCAATATCGTAATTCCAATACAAACATAACTTGTCAAGTAAACGCTTTCAGAATATTGCTATATTATGTGAATATATATATATATATATATATTATACATATATATTTTAATAAGTTAATATCCAGATGAAGTACATGTTACAATTCTAAGTTTCCCAACAGTGTATTTTGTCGTAAAAAAGATATTTCAATAATCTAAATTTCGTTCTTTAAAATTCTTACAGCATTCCATGTATATTTGTATAAAGAGTTAAAGCTTGCTTTAGTCGACCAAGACGTTCGAATCTCCGATCCACTAGAGCATACAGAACTCAAAGAGAACAATCAGTTCTTACAACAGAAGATCAGAGACTTAATTGACGAACCGAATGAACATTTAATTGAGATTGCAGTTATGCATGAAACAGCGGAATCAGCTGAACAAGACAGGGAAAAGATTCAGGCTAACATGCTGAAGATATTAAACGACTGTAAAGAGATTTTAGATGACTGTGATAAAAATCCCGATTCACACATTGAACGTCGTGCAAAAATAGAAGCTTTACTCAAAAATTCAGCAAGCAACAACGAAGCAAACAACATTATGCAAAGGAATCCGAGTAAAATAATCTGGAAACGTATGAAATGCTGCAAACGAAGGTGGCAGAATACATAGAAAAAAATAAAACTACCAACCACATTCCAGAAACTGAAGAGAAAAAGAATTTGAAGTTCAGACAAGAATCAGAGAGTCGTAGAATTAATTGATGAAAATACATTTCCCGAGTCAGACGACAGTAACATTTACGATGACGTTGAAAGAGATCCAGATTGGACACCACTTTACAATCGAATACAAACATTTCTGAGCACAACGAAACATACATCCTCTGAGCAGTGATCTAGTCCCAAACGATCATCGGACGGAGAAATAAAATGTCGCTGTAAAACAAACTGTCCAACTCGACTTTCATGTTGCAAGAATAAAGAATTGTTAACTGCAGTTGCAACTCAAGAACTTTGTCGAAACAAAGATCCGAAGAATCTGCGGTAAAACTGTGTTCGACTTTAAAGACTCCAAAGGACTGCCAAGTATTTGCGTGAGTCCTCGATAAGAACAGAAAGAGAATGCACATAATACTATTACAACTTTCAAACGATTGCTCTTAGACGTTAGGATACTAATCAATAATACCTTCGATACAATTATACTTAATACGACGCGTCACGTAAGAAAAATCGTAAAATTTAGCGGTCGTGTGCTTAATCAGAAAATTACCATCGCACCATTGTAGTGTTCAGAACGAACCGAAACTGACGGAAATAAATCTAAATACGCAGTGTCTACGTAGGAGAAGCGAAATTGATCGTTGAATCGGGCAACCGCGGGAAAAATATTATCAGCTCGGAATGCAGGTCGCTGATCATATTTCTCTGGTCAGTTATTCTCGATCGGAAACAATGAAAAGGAAATTACTTTAAGTCACGAAGTATCTTCTACTACATCTTCAGAATAACTTTATATGAACTTTCATATTTATCATGACGTTCATCGGAAACCCTTTATTTAGATTTATATTTAACTTCATCTGGGAATGCTTCTCTTGGCGGTACCAAGCTGAGCATCATTACATGACGCTGGTAAGCCCTAGAATTACGGAACTGGGTGTCCGTTCCGTGGATACGATCCAACACCCCCAGGACTCCGAAGCATTGGTTGAATCTGAAACAATATAAAAATCATTGCTATCCAGTTTAAGTCGTACTCTGAAATTTACACTGTGTATTTTATGTACAAATCGTGTCATCGGAACTCTAGTCTAATGGTGTAAACGTTTTCTTCGACTCGACTCCACTACATCTAGTTGACAGTGTTTTACGTTTACTAAGATTCTAGTGGGCAGCGCATTTTCTATGAGAAACAAAGAACAAAAGAATTCTCCTTGTCGATTTTAAACTAAACATCATCGAGAAGCCCATTGTTTTCTCACTGCAAGGATTCTTCCACGTTCATCACTATATTGACTCCGCGAATGCAGAGTAAGTAACGCGACAATCGATACGCGATACCCAGTGATACGAAAGTTACAATCATTTCTGCCCCGACGTTCGCTAGTATAAATTATACTTACTTTAAGTGATGGAAATCATGAGCTTCTGGGGATGGGAAGAATGGTAAATGGTAACCGGAGTGAGCATTCAATGTAGAGAGAATAGCAAGCGAGAACCAAAGCCAAGCGGTAGCCACGTGAGAACCTACGATGAATACTCCCAAAAACGGTGGCAACAGATTCGAGCCAATGTGTTCTAAGGGGTGGCAATATAACGACGTTACAGCTATTGGGGCCGTCCATTCGTGGTGTTGTTTGTGTATGTACTTATACAAATAGCGGCTATGGAGGAATCTGAAATACAATTGCATTACATTACTGTTTTACTTCTACCTAATAACTCGTACAATATTAAACATGAATATCACTCAATTCTTTTGAACTCAAAATTGAATATCATTCTATTAACAATTATACTATGTGGCAAGTGTAGGCATACGCCTAGAATTTTTCCCTGTTTTTCAATTATTACCGATAAAATAGTGCAGATCATAGTTAAGGAAGAAATCATAGGGCAAGGGGTCAATTATATAATCAATATGATGTACAGCGTGTTTTACAATCAGCGAAACGCTCTGCACGATTATAGTACCGCAAAGACACTACAGGAAAGAATACTGTTTCTGTTCATTTAAAAAAAACAGGTAGAGGTAGGAGAAACACTGAAATACCTGTGCGAGTAATAAAATCCAATTTCCTCGCATAATATGTGAATTGCGATTTCAACGAGTACCCAGTGGAAGGTCGGCAACTCGCGCACAGGGGGGTAGCCGCGCCATTCCATAAATTGATAACTGACGTACGCCAGAGGAACTCCGACAATGATCTGATTGAACACTACTTGAGCGATCACTTTGCACAATTCCTTTCTGTTGACGGGTTCGTTCGTTCCAGGTTGTATTTTGTATCTTCGCAGCGCGACTGGCCGGTTAGTCAGGTCCAACAGCGTATAGATACCGCCGAAGAACCAATAAACGAAAAACGTCAGCCCCAACGACCCTGAAATAGTGGAAATATTTATTTCTTGTGCAGTGACCAAAAAAATCAGTTATTCGGTGAACATTTAACGTTATTTGCAGGCAATTGAAAAGATTGTATAAAACAGTCTACAAAAAGTGAATTAAAATTATCTTTTATACAAATCTTTATGTCCATACCTCAGGATAATTACTAATTTTACACGAGACTTTGAGATAAATTTTAATGCAGCCTACGTTTTGAGTAGGTACTACCTGTGTCTGACTATTGCCCACCATTTCTACTTATACTAAACAATAGAAGCGTTAACACGTTGAGTAATGTAGCATCAACTCGTGTAATTGAATTACGTTATTATTGCAGGTTTATCTCGTCGAACGTCACTGCATTACGTGGTACTACTCACGATACAGAAAAGTTTTCAAATAATCATTTAATCGAATGAATTATAGTAATTCGATTCGGTTGAGGTCACCGGTGACCCCCGTGGTACGCAACGTGTTAAGTGTTATTGCTTTCGACAGCAGCGTAATTTCTAATTTAAATCGTTCGCCGCGCGGTAATCGCGACAGCCGCGATCGTGTTAACATTCCCCGGGATTTCTTTATCGTGTACCATGCACCCAGAGTGTCACAGGATCGTCGCCCAGTTTGTTTAGGATTTTGTCCCATTGCGCCTGCCAGAAATCACCGGATGCTCCCCAGAACCGCTGCAAATGCCTGGCGGAGAAAATGAACTTGTGTTTGCGATTAGATTGACAAGAAACGAAGAGACGCGCGATATATTCGGGCACACCGGACGATTCTTCGTTCGATCAGCATACGAGAACGGAAAAACGATCGTTGTACATCCGATCCGATGAAATTTACCATGTTAGTGAGTTGCAGAAAGCGGCGAATCCGATCACCACGGTTCCGATTACGAAGAGCACGCTCCTCAAACTTGACAGAAGCGTCGGAGGAGTTTGATTCTTACAGCCGTCGCCGCTCACAGGCGTCACTGGGGACAAAACAACGTGAGAGTCTCTGAATCCGTACGACTGTAAAGAATTTGAGAATTAAATACACTCGTCGACTGTAATTTCTCGATTCAACCATTAAATTACCAACGAATAGACTAAAGATTTTCAATTGGTGAGATAATACTCAAACATTTTCTGACGAGACACAGATGACATTGTTTGAAATTAATTTGATAATTCACAGATACATTAAGCAAAGCTATTTTATTCGAATAGTCCACGTAGCAATACGAAGTTTAATTTAAAATACTAAATATTCAACTTCATAGTGCGAAGAGTTATAACTGTACATTTACAATCGCATCTACTGACGATATAGGAACAAACGAATACAGTATAAGTATAACAAATTCAGTATATTCGTGAAACTCCATTGATTCTATCAAAAAATAATTTCAACCCTTTAAGGACGAATATCATATTTGGAATACTACGTTGTAAACAAACGATTTAATTAGTAACAGCAAAAGACCAGCGTATAGTTTCTTTTCCTCTATTATGTAAGCATTCGATAGACGATTTTTCGTCCGTAAAGGGTTAATCGGTCGCTCAACTAAATTCCCATCTTATTTAGCGCGTAGTCGCCATTCTAAACGTTCCCCATCCCGCTGTCGATCATCTCGTTCAGTAAGTGTTGCATAACTTGAAAATCCTCGTGTTTGAACACTCGCCTCTCGACTAATTAATTGGATGATAGCGGTTACCATTCTCGTTTTTTGTTCTCGGAGCCGCGGGCGTGCTCGCGTCGACAACTTACCGCTACAGCGCTTCGAGCTTCGATTTCTAGAATTTTGAATAATCATCGCCGTGTCATCGCGTCGGCATGGAAAAACATCGAGAAGAAAAAAGAGGAGCGAACCATCGACTAGCAATAACAGAAGTTATATTCGTTCCCGCTGACGCATATTAGCGAGTCCAGGCGCAAGAAGTTTCGCGGTTGCTGAACAAATGAAGGCAGCAAAGTGGAATAAAGAAACAAACCGTTTGCACAACAGGACGTTGCACAAGACAACCCGGATTCGATCGACAATGCGCTGCACGGCCGCTCGACCTTTCAGCCCTTTCAGACAGGTGATTACGCGCAATTACCGCTCTCAGAGTGGCCGAATTGCAGAGGTGTACTGTAAAACTGCTGCACAAGCGAGAGCAGTTACTGGATCTAACTCGAGTTTACATTGTGGTCGACGAGAACGACAGATCATCGATTGTTATTCTCGATGCTTGATGTAAATCATCTGGGGAACTTGTTGCGTTCGTTGAATATCGCGGAAACGGGGTACGGTTAACGGTACGTTTCATTCGCTTTAATCTTACCGATCGGTTGATTATACTCTCGTAGCTGTATTACAGGGCGCAATATTGTTTAATTAACTCGAATAAATTAATTATGCCGCGAGCGTACATTATTGGTTTCGGCTGGCAATCAGCGTGCACGATTCGGCCGATAGTTTCTCGCGGCTATTCTCTCTCGCTCGCTCCAATTGTACCAGGAAAACGTGACGTTTCCTGACTGACACTTGTTAGTGGAGGATACGTATATCGAATCGAGTTTGCACGGGCTGATTAGTTCGTCGATTTCTAGCAATTGATTGAAAATTGACTCGAGTAGTGGCAATGAAAGTATCGTTGACTAGAATTACTTGTATATCAGACGATCAGTTTTATTGTATCGATACATTGTGACAGTGGAGATCATTTATGTAAATATGCAACGTATAAGGGATCAATTAAATCCATGTGAAAGATTCATCTCATCGCTTGATTTAGTTTATACAGATTTCGCTGTTTTTGAGTAATAACGCGAAAATTCAGATGAATTAGAGAATTCAACAACCTTTTACTAATTTAATCGGATAATCGCGCTGTGGTAAAGTTAATCGAAATGAAATGCTTAGGTGAAAGTTCATCGTTCGCAATTACCATTTCGTCGGTCGTTCTTGGAAAGCATCCGCCGAACGCTCGCGTCAATGTTTAATCCGCGATAGTAGAGAAGATAATTTCAAAACAGAGGTTACAGATCTAAGCAAAATTTATCTCCGTTGACGTACCTCCAACATAAACAAGCGATACGTTTGACTGACCTAAGTAACTCTGACAGTGCCGTTATTGTTCTGTCCAATGGCCTTTCCATTTCCTCGGTCAATTCATTAAAAAAATCTCCGATACTATACACCGTGTATTGCAACTTTGATACTGTACATCTCAATAAATGAAATCCTAAGAAGGTTTCCATTAACGAAGCACTTACGTCACTGGCAAAACATTTTACGCGAACATCTTCGCGCTCCGATACGGTTAAAGTGTTCCGCAATGAAACACGCGATGTATACACCTCCGCTGAGGAAATATTCTGCTCACAATATGAAACATAATCCCGTAACAAAGGAAAATTATTCTTCTTCGGTCAAACGTGCCATTTCAAATACAATCATTCACAAACGTATCGCTCGTATTAATTTACCAAAGAAATCACAAACTAAACAACAATTATACATCGAATTTTCTAACTGTGGAATTTCACTTAAGAAATCTCACATTGTACGCGTAACGAAATCAAACGACTGACCAGAAGACTGAAGTAAAACGAAGTAACACGTTTATCTGAAGAAATAAAGGTACTTATTGTATTATGACTACTTCTGTCTCAACTAAAGATCGCACTCAATCGTCTGAGTTAGTATTTAATATTGTAATATATTTAATTATATTTAACACTATAATACTATATATTCTTTTATTATATGGAATAGTGCAATATTTTATTTCATTTCTGAAAACAAAGGTAGTCCATGCAACAAGTAAGTACCGAGACGAATAATTGACCGTTGAAAGGATTAGTGCCATTCTGAATTTAAGCTGACGCGTATACTCGTCGAACGCAGTTAACTGGTTAAAACGGTCCGGCCGATCGGGGCCGCGCGTTCAACTTTCGCGGACCGTTTCCAGGTTCGGCGGACCGTTCCCGGCAGTCATTCTCGAAACGTACCTTTCCTTCGCCATACCGTTTCGAACAACGTCATTACAAGAGACTGGTCGCAGCGGGTCGTGTAGGAACGTGCGTTTCGAGATTCACGCTGGTTCGGCTACGAACAGCATCGCACCGTTAAGTGTCACCTACTGACCGTAGCCGTCGTGTTTCATTGCCGACTACGCTTCAGATAATAATCGCCCCTCCACTATCCTCCTTTGTGTTCGTAACACTTACTTTTTCTGTTGGTTTATGCAAATATTAGAGCGTCAGAAAATTTCTGACTGTGTACAAACGAGAAACGGGAATACGATGTTCAGGGAATCCCCCTACCATCGGCCGAATCGCGTGCGGTGAGTACCACTTGGAATAATCTTGGTGTTTGCAAAATTCTCCTTAATGAATTCACTCTGTTAATGCATTTCGCGCGTTCCATAAAATAGAAATAAATGGAACGTGCATGGAATGGCACGGTTATCAGAGGAGCACAGCTAATTGAGTCGCTCCGAAGCCAATGTTAACCCTCTATGGGCCGAATTTTCCAATAGTTTCCATAATTTCATCAAACGAACATATTTCGTGACTTTCAAGTTACAATGACGATAAACTTTCACGCCAGGGCATGTCAAAGTTGCAGTTAACACGTGAAGCGCCATGTCAGTCATTGGTGACGGACACTTCTGAATGACTAAAAAACAATCGTAACGTACAAGACAACCGATGCGAAATGAAAATGTTTAGTAAGGCAACTAAGTTGATAATAGTGTAACGCAAACGTTGCAACGCCAAACAATTCATAATTATTCCTACTTTTCTCTGCTACAAAAGACAAACTCCATGGGAAAACGCTTAAGATTTTCGTGGCGCTTAACGTGTTAACCGATTACCTCATTTCATTTACCACTTTGAGTGCAGAATTAAATAACTCGACAAGATGCCAATATACTGATATGTGACTTCAAAGTTACATGGGCCCACAGAGGGTTGAGTCCAGAGAAGAAAAATTGGGAGAATTAATGGTTCGGCTTCTGGAATGATTATAGAATATAATCAGGAGATATAGAAAGGACTCGCTGACCTAAAAAAAGGAACAAACGAGTATAATCCTTGAATAACCGAAAAGATTCGTTTCATTAGAATTTAGAATCAGAAAATTCAAAAGATGGAGTTAACCGCATTGGCTTCTGAGCGACTCGATTGTATATTTGCAACGCATTTGTCGGCTTTGTTGTAATGTTTTGTAATCCTTTTTCTTCGGTTGTTGTTTCTCGTGTTCACGTGTTTGCCGATAAACATTGAATTTCTGGTACGGTTAGTCGGAATGGATCCCTGTGTTATTTTACGCACGGAACTGAAAAAGATTATTAACGTGTTAATAGGCAGTTAAAAAATACAAACGCACTGGTTCGGTATGATTAATTCGATCTTATAATTAAATTCGTCGCTGAAAAGAATAAGTGAAGGTGAGATTAATATGGGTGGACAATATTTTAATTCTCCACTTAATTAATAAAATGAAATTCGATCTGAAAATAACCGCAGGGTTTCCTGAAAATCCAACGAAATCCGATCAAATTTTACGGCGATTTGTCAGCACTTTAAATGCGTTATCAAGAAACTGAAATGCAAATTTCACCGAGTTCCCGCGCTTTAAATATAACTGACTAATACGTCTGCCTAATGTTTGCTGTTTCTACTTAAGCGAAGTGGGATACTACTTGGGTAACACGATACGCTATTTTCAATCAATTTTTCAACTTTGCTCGTGGGAACGTGATTATTCGATTGCATATAAATACGCAATAAACAATTTGTAGATATAAACCCATTGATTTCCTTTGAAAACGAAATTATTAAAAATGTCCACGTACGAATATGAGGTATCTGTAAAAATGACTCTTCGAATTTCTTAAAATAAATTTTAAAAAATAAATACACCGCAGGCAACTTTGATTCTGCCATTGATACAATTCGACAGTGACCATTAATCTCGGTGCGTATTATCGTTTGAATCGCATAAAAGCTCAGACGCTGTCACAACTTACCATCACAGTCATGCACAGGCCGATACATGGCGTCACGTTAATGTCTCAATGAAAACAGCAATTTTATTGATTAACTTTACATCGTTCATTTTTTTCCTTCTCCCTTTCTTCCTCTTTTTTTGTCACGATAGTCAACATTCAACAGAATCCAAACAAAAGTTTCGTTTCTACGGATGTAACGATATTCAAGCAATGACAATGAACAACTCAATGCGCCCGGAGCAAAAAAGAAAAAAAACAGCGAATAGTTCGACCCGATCAATTAACAGGCGTTTATTTACAGTTTCGCTGGCCACTTTCTTCCCTCCAAAAGTGAATGCCCAATAGGCAAGCGTCTGTCAATAGGTTCCGACGCCAGGATCCCATCCCGTGAGAAGGAAACAATAAAAGAATGCACAACGGGGGAAACGAGTGCAATCAACTCTCTCCCGATGAATCGTGCAGAAAACGAAAACACACGGTTCAACGAATTCCGTGGCTGCTCCTCGGGAGCAACTGTCAAAAGTGGCCGTCTTGGTTTCGTTCGTGTCGCCCGAGCGTGATTTCAATCGTGGGTGAACAGGGGGGAACCCGAAATGTCCTTTCCTACCTTTGTACTGGCTCTGCACGTCCATCATGATTGACGATGGCAACGTTTACGAGAAAATCACGTAAATTCTTGTATCTGGAGCCAATGGATCGCATTTGCCACAGCACACACAATAGTCGATAAACGCAGACCGTTGATACTGGCAAGTGCGCCGTAGCGCCAAACCCGTACTTCGCAGCTCCACTATACATATATATGTATCCATGTTTTCATATGTGCTGTACGTACACAAGATTGTTTATACCGCCCGTTCGTTTCATTCAGCTTTTTCTCTAATAAGGCCAATATGATTTTTTCACGTTTCGAATACATATGAAACGAGCTTTACCTTTCTACGAATAAAATGTTATCTTTTCTTAATACGAAATGGTGAATTAGCGTGAGCGACTTCGTGAGACTCTTCGATGCGAAGTCTTTGTGTTAAATTTTTTAAAAATAATTCTCAAATGTTTTCCTTGGATATATTGTTTAGAATAATTGTTTATGGAAATGACATATTCTATGGTGTGTTGTATATGAATTCGGTGCTTGTAATCTGTTTATTAGGTTAGGATTATATGTAATAATAGTTAAGGGTATCGTTGATAATAAATAGTTTAATGAAATGAGAGCTTGTTATAATAAAGGTTATATTATTTTGTGTTCTTTTGTATTTACCTCTTTTGATTTGTGGATTTTTTAAAAATTGTTAGTAAGTTATCTAGGACGGAATTAAATGTTTCCCTTTATTTGTGCATGTGAAAGTTATTTGTCTAATAAAAAAGTAACCTACTTTACCATACAGAATCTATAGGGTGACAGTTTGTTTTGCGTTATACAAGAATCAGCTGTTATCACCTGTTGTGTCGCGGTGTATATTCATAGATGTACCGCAAGCTACAATGAGATTATTTTCTATACCGTCCAGGTATATTTACTTAAGTACGTTTTCATTTTGGAGTATAACCGTTAGTTTGATTAAATTGTATAAATAGTTGAATGTAACCAGCGACATTCAATAAATATCAAAGTGAACATTAACATTTGAACTTAAATAAATGAATAACAATTTTCTTGCATGTCGAAATAAGTAACTGTTATAACAAAAAGAGGGATGCAAAGAGGTTATTGTGAAATTTGTTCACTTCATTGATAAATGCTCTTTGTTTAATGAAATTGACTTTGAAGAAACGAAAAATAGTTTAATTTGAAGTTTAAATTTTGTTCAAGAACATGTGAAAATTGCTGACTAGCTACAGACCTCTGGCGACAAGTCGTGGAAGCATCATCACATTTAGAATGTCCAACTGTTTCCGGCTGTAAAAGGAGTGATGTAGACTTTACATTTCGAAGTGTAAAGCAACGAATTGCACAATATTTATGTACAATAATTTATAAAGTTCTTTTGATTATTGTAAAATTGAAGCTAAATAGGAACATGTATGCATTTACAGTGGATTATAGAGAAATGTAAGTGGTGAAAGCTCTTTAGCAAACTATGTGCACGAATTGTGACGTGTTTCCATCTTGACAATTCCTGGAATATAAATAAAGGTAAATGAACTTTGAATAATACTTCTTTTTCTGAAATTTTGCATTTCTACCATATCATCGTAGAAGTTGGCTCGGTTTCATGCGATGTTCAGTTTCCGATGGTATAAATTCATAAAATCTATTTTTTCCACAATGCGAATTACGTCATTTCGCTACGTGTTCAAAATTGTTTCTCAAGTTTTATGTGTTTTTTCGATTCTGTTAATTTACTTCTTGATTTAAATGTAATACACGTCCCTTGTGACGGGGTCAAAACATTTTGAGGTTAACTTTATTACATTGTCAATATAATATTGTTACCAATGTTATTTTTTAAATTAATTCCAATTTATTGATGATAGGATTATGTTGTTGATAATAGTGATAATAATAATAACGATGATATTTGATAATAGTATTGTCAGAATATCTATAATATAAAATATTCTTAATTTAGCATATAAAAAAAATTCTTATAGTGTGTAAATAAAACTGTTTCAGTTAAAACTCACTATTATATGAAATATATAGAGTTTTGTATTTTTTTAAGTAAATGAAATAAAATTCCTTTTACTTAATATGCTTTATATGTTCTTGATAAAGTACAAGGTTCTTGCTTACACCTTATTTTATAAGAATTAAACCTGCCACAAGGTAAAGTATATATATGTATATTGTCACAATATGTATACACAAGGGTAATATAATTAGTTTACCTCAGTCAAGCTTTCATCCAATTAGTCTATGAAAATGAGAGCAGTGGGTGACACACTGTCTGATCACTTTATAAAAACTTTCACTGCCATTGACTTCATAATTTCTTATTCACTGAAGTTTATTGTCTATTTTTATGTAATATAAATTATAATGAAGTGGCTTCTGTTGATATTAATTATACAGTTAACAATGTGGGACTCATCGGGAGAACCACCAGGAGAGGAAGAAGGGAAGTCATCTGATTCTGTGATGCAAACGAAAGAGAAATTGGAAGAAGAAAAGTGTCAAGCAGAGTCTCTTGAAGACATTGTGTTAAAACCCAAGTCAAGTTCAAAGAAACAAGAGGAGGTCCAGGTATCTGTAGTTCCCTTATAAGCATTTAGTGAAAAACTTTGAAATATTCTCTACAACTGTGAATCTGATTTAGGAATATGCTAGGCGGCTTTCTAAACTTAAATCTAGAGCTAAATTGTTACGTAAAAACAAAGAAGGAAAATTTCCATCTAAAGATAAATCACATACATCCGATGCAACTGTGGCTGATACTTCTGAACAAACTATTGATGACATCAGTCAGGCAAAAACTGCAAAAGCAAAGTCTACTTTACTCCAAAAGAAGTTAGCTGAGGACAGAAAAGTATTTGAACAGCGCAACAAAGAGAGAACTGAAACTAAACGAGCGGTGGAAGAGAAGGTAGAGGCTATCAGGCAACAGCTAGAAGAAAAAGATGTATCTAACACAGACTTAGCATTAATAAATGTACAAAAAGATCAACCACCTATCACAAGTATAAAACCAGTTGTGATCACATCAGAGGTTAGTGATGGAGAACTTATTTTCCTTGCAAATGATACATTTTTTATTAAATGTTTTGTTTTAATATTTAAAATTTTCATTGTAGGTAATGTCACCAATACAAATTGAAAGCATTCGAGAAAAAGAATCCAAAATTTCGGAACTTAGTAATAAAATTCTAGAATTGGAAGCAACTATTATAGATCTGCAAGAAAATTTAAAAGAGAAAGACTCTGTTATTGAATCTAAAACAAAAGCAGTTACACTTATGTCTGCAGATCTTTCTTTGAAAGGTAAAACAACATTGGACACTCTCGAAGATACAAAAGATGAGATGCGAACAATGCAGGAACATTTTGTACTTTTGGAGACATCGTTAAAAAGTAAAAATGAAAATCTTCTATCACAATTACAAGAAAGGGATAATAAAATAACAGAATTAGAAGAATCGGTTAAACGGTAATATAATAAATTTGTTCTTAAAAATAATTTTACCCTTACTGAAGAAGCATATGTTGATAATTAATAACTTTTTTATTTGTGTATAGGTTTGAAGAAGAAGTTGATAAACAAAAGTTAGCTGAATCGGCGAGTGCTGATTTCTCTCGTTCCACAATGGATACGTTGGTAGAGACTAAAGAAGCAATGAAATCAATGCAAGAAAATTTTGTACTTATAGAATCTTCACTGAAAACAAAAAACGATAGCCTCCTTCAACAACTACAAGATTATGAATTAAAATTGGCGGAAGCTAACGAACGAGTATTTAAACTGGAATCCGGTATTGGAATACAAAGAGATCCATCGGTTGATGATCTGCAATTTAAATTAGAAAAATTGGAGCACAGTAACAAAAAATTACAAGATGAGAAATATGACCTACAAAAAAGTATTGTTGAGCTGCAAGACAAAATTGTGAACTTGTCTGGCCATGGTAATAGCACCTTGGTAGAAAAAGACAATAGAATAGTTGAACTTGAAAATTTAGTAGAAGAATTAAAACAATCTAATAAACTTCTTGAAGAAGAATCTAAGGAAGAATTGCAAAAACTAGTAGCTGACTTGACATTGAAAAATGAAGAATTTGTAAATAAAATTACAGACCTTAGAAATTTGGTACATAAACTTGAAAAAGAAAACAGTGATATTGCGGCTAAATTACCAGATGAGAATGCAGTTAGCGAAGACGAAAAAGTAGCGAAACTTACAAAAGAATTAGAAGATTTGAATAAGACCATGATAAAAATAAAAGCACAACATAAAACTAAAGTAAAGAATTTGCAAAAGCAATTGGAAGGTTTCAAAATGGTGAGCTATTTTTTTCTTTAATTGTTTACATTTACGTAATCTTTCAATATTTTAAACGAGATGAATATCTAAATGGATGTATAAATAACAAGCGAATAAAGTATTTTTCATTTGAGAATATTTTGATTTAGGTATCAGACACAAATGCGGAACTTGTTAGATTGGCGAATCAAGTGGCATTGCTAGAGGAGGAGAAAGGTAACCTTCAGCTGAATCTGGTAGACTTTGACGAGCTTAAAGGTAGGAACCAGGACAGAACTTCTGTCATTGCTGTTTCCATTGTTCTAGTTTTGTAACCAATTGTACGTGCAATGCATTACCCGTTTATATTATTCTCAAAGCAATTTGTTATCCATAGCCCTATTATCCTTACTGCAGAAAAATTCCAGTCTCTATGTATATATTTTGGATAATACATACAAAGTACTTTTATTATATTATTTAAAAATTAAGTTGAAATTACATAGTTTGGAATACACTGTTAATATTTTTATTTCGGGATGCTTATTCTTTTAAAGGAATATTGATATTGAAACAGATAGAAATATGCCAATTTCTGGTGATGGAATCTTCTTATATAATTAGATATTTACTAAATTTTTTAAATCTTTGTTCAAGATACTAATCGATTATAGTACATGAATTACATTTTAATATTTTAATGTAACATGGTACCTACTTTACTTGTCAAAGTTTGCTATACTCTGATTTTGTAGAAATAGACTTACTTCTTAGAACATAACATTACAAGTTTTTACAATTCATATTATTATTTCATCATTAGTATAATGAACTTACTTGCATGAACAATGCATTAAATCATTTTTCATTTTCTTAAAACCATTCACCCGATATTATTATATTATTTATATATTACAGTATCATATGAAATAATCATCTGCTATAGGACAAAATGTCATTAATGCAGTGCAACATTAACAAATGACATAACAGATTTTTATTTGCTTTAAATAATCGTGTAATTGTCTGAATTATGGTTTTAAAGCTAATCATCATGCTTACTGCGAAATAAGAGAACTACTAATCCTTTAAAAATAATTAACATACGTCGAATTGTGGTTTTAAAATTTCTAGTTTTATATGTTTTCAAGTTGCTTGCTTTGCACTTACTATTCGTTAATATTTATTATGTATAATGTCAATTATACGCATCATTGGCATGTTATACAATTTGCACAGCCTCAGCAGGAGACTGGCAAGAACAGATCGTTTACCTCGAAAGTAAAGTTTCCGATCAGTCAAAAGAAATTCAAATGCAAATTGAGGCCATTGCCGCGTTAGAGAATCAAAAATTGGATCTCATGCAAGGTAATTGATTATATTATGCACTTGGTATCACTTCTTAGATTAATCGATATATTGCATATGAAATTATGAATTTTGAATAATAAATACGTCAAATTAATTACTCTCAGATGCGTGTTTAATATATATTACAGAACTTCACATGGCAAAGCAAGAAATTTCATCTTTAGAGGCAGAAAATGCAGAATCTGAAAATCTTAGGGTGACCGCAGAAATGAAAGTTGTCGAATTTGAGGAACAGTTGGAAGCTATGCAAAAATTGGAGAACGATAACAAATCTTCGCAGGAAGAAAGTCACGCAAAATTAATAAGACAGATAGAAGATTTAACGCAGGAAAATACTGAACTGCACAGTAGGATAGGCAAGATGGAAGAGAAGGGAGCTTACGATTCCGGTTCTACTGAGTCGTTTGAAGCAATACAAGAATTAGACAGAAGCGACTTGTTGAAGAAAGTTGAGGATCTGTTACAGAAAAATAACGAATTGACTAATAAATTAAGCAAGCTTCACGAGAAAGGAAATTCACATGCAGGATCTACAGAATCGTTTGAAACCATACACGATACAGACAAGAATGAACTATTAAAGAAAATCGATCAATTGACTCAAGAGAATTCTGACTTGACAATGAAGTTGAGTCGACTGGAAGAAAAAGGATCGTCCGATACGGGTTCAACGGAATCTTTTGAACGTATCCCAGAGCACAACGAGAGTGTAACGAAAATTGATCTCCTTACACAAGAAAATAGCGAGTTGGTAATTAAACTTACAAAACTGGAAGAACAGTTGGAACACCTAGAGTCTAGTCGGAAGGAATCTAAATCGGACATCGATGTAAAATCAAAAGTTGATAGTTTATTGGAAGAAAATAATAATCAGTTCGTAGAATTGTCTAATCTTAGAGCACAATTATTAGAGGTCACAATAGAGAATACTAATTTGCAGAAACAAGTTGAAAATTTAACTGCAGAAATGTCAGTTACTCAATCGGAGGATTCTTCTGACAGATTAAAGAGGGACATTGATTTTACAACACAGATCGATGAATTATTAGAAGAGAAAGTTCACCTTGAAAAGGAGATAAAAGAACTGCGCAATGAGTTGGAAAAATCGCGCGAGGTCACCGTTCAGGATCACGAAACAAATAATTTGAAATCGAGGATAGAGAACTTATTAAAAGAAAACGAGCAAATACTTTTGAGAATGTCGGAACTTGAAACATTTAACGAGAAATTGAAAGGCGATCTGACAACTGTAAATTCAGAGAAGGATGAATTATACATAGAAATCAATCAAATGTTGCCCGAAGAGCCTGTCAATGATAAATCAGGCTTCCTTGAGAAATTAGGAAAATTGCTCAAAGAGAAACAACAACTGAATGAACAAGTAGAAATTCTTCTCGAAAAATCTGCTAAAGAGTCTGAAAATCGGGCGGCGGACGAGTTTGAAAATAAACTTGAAAATCAAGAAAGGGAGTTAGAAGAAAAAGACAAGCAGGTCAGCGATTATCAAGCGTTTGAACTGAAAATAGAGAGCCTCGAGAGTGAATTGAAGGAGATGCAAGAGAAAGTGAACAGATTGTTGATAGAAAAAGCCTCCATTGAAGAGGAGTTTAATAGATTGGAGAAAGAGAGTAGCGTATTGATCGAAGAGAAAAAGATGAAAGACGAGGAGAATAATTTGTTGAAGCAACAATTGCAAGACACCGTTAGTTCGTACGAGTTACAAATTCAAGAGAAGCTGGCAGCAATATCTGAAAAAGAGAGAGAAATTGTTAACTTGAAAGAAGTCATTGAAGAGAAAGATCAGGAGTTACACGCCAAATACACAGAACTACAAAATAAAATGATTGCAATAGACAGTTTACAAGACGAATTAAATAATTTTAAAACGTTAGTTCAAGAGAAAGCCGCTTTGTTGTCGTCATCGTCCGAGGAAATTCTGGATCTTAACAATGCAGTAAGGAATAAAGACGAAGAACTATTTGCCCTGAGGAAAGATGTTATCGAATTAAATAATAAGATGGAGGAATATAAACCTTTGAAGGACTATAACGAATTATTGGAACAATTAAAAAATAAGGATATGATACTCGACGAAGCTCAATATAGAATTAATGCTATCGCGAAAGAAAACGATAACTTATTACAGGAAGTGAAGAAATGGACTCAACAGAACGACGACATTGAACAACGATTGAACGAAAAGCAACAAGAATGTTCGCAGCTATTGGTAACGAAGGAACGCTTGGACGCAGAGATCGCAGATCTTAAGAACGCTAAAGAACAAGACGAAAAGCGTATTTGGGAGATACAGAACATTATAGACCTCAATGCAAACTTTGTCGACGACTTGCAAGCCGAATTAAGGGGCGCGTACAAGCAGATAGAACAGTTGAAGCTGAAGCACACAGAGGATATGCAACTGCAGAACCAAAGAATCGAAAACTTAATTAAGGATCTACAATCCAAGACACAAGAGTGCGAAATGCTGAACAGCGAACTGCTAGAGAAGCAGAGATTGGTAGGGCAAAACGTAACAGAGGAAATCAAAGTCGCCTTGGAGGCTAAAGTTGCTGAGTTGGAGCAGAAGTTGAAAGACTCAGAGGATAAAATACAGATGCAGCTGGAGAAAATGAAGAAAATAGCAGCGAACCTCAAGAAAAAATCAGCGGTGTGCCAAGAGCTCGAGACCAGGGTCACAGAGCTCGAGGAGAAGTGGACAACCGAGAAGGATGAGAAAGAAGCGAAAAACAAGCAGATTCAGGACGTAGAGATTTCGATGCGCGAGAAGGACAATCAAATAGCGGACTTGGAGAAGAAGTTAATTCAGGCGAGGAGCGAGAGTGCGGAAGCTTTCGCGAACGTCGACAAGCTCACCAGTGATTTGTCCAATTCGAAGGAGAAAATGTCGTTGCTCGCGCAACAGTTCACTGAGATGGAGGAGGAGATCGTAAAGTTGCGGGCTGACTTGGATTCCTCGGCGAGCGAGCTCGCGACCGAGAGGAATATGAAGCAGGATGTAACCTTGGAGTACGAGGGCTACAGGGAGCAGATTGCAAAGGAAAACGAGCACAAGCAAGTGGAGCTGGACGAGGTGAAGGAAAAGGCTAGGGAGCTCAGCGTGCGAATGCAGGTGATGGAAGCGGAGTACGTTGAGCAGCTTGCCTTGATAAAGAATCTGATAGCCGAGAACGCTTTACTGTCGTCGAAGCAAACTCAGATTAGCGAGAAGCTGGAGAACGTGGAGAAGGAATCGGAACAGCGGAGAGTGTTGCTGGAACAGATGCAGAGGGAAGCAGTCAGTTCCGTGACGGCCACCACTCAAACGGTCGACGAAGAAGCCGTCGAGGAGGACGCGAAAATTTCCGACTCGCAGCACTGCAATCATTGCGAGCAATGTCAGACCGTGGTGCAAGCGTTGGAGGCGAAACTGCAGGAGCGAGAAGCGGAGATCGAGAACTTGGACAACGAGTTGGCTAACTCAATTGGTAATTTCGTGCAAATGCGAGAGTCGCTCAGGTACAACGACATGATGAATCAAACCGCTATGCGGAACAGGTCGTTGGAGGATCCGTACAACGATCTCTTGTTCCAATATAATGCCCTAGTGTCGAGCAACGAGGAGGTCAAAGTGAAATTGGAAGAAGCTTCGAAACAGAACAAAGACTTAGCAGAGGCGATCGAAGGTTTGCAATCCGCGAAGACTTCGTTAGAGGAGAAGATAATGGCGGCGGAGCAGGCCCTGCAGGAGACTAGATTGAACACGGAGAAGCTGGAGAACGTTGATTCGTTGAACTCCGATTTACTGAAGAAATGCGAGGACAGTGAAGCGAAGTTGTTGAACGTTCACCAAGAGATGCAGGCTGTTCGAGAGCGCGCCGATCTGCTGGAAGAGCAGTTAAGCTCTCAGACTGCGTTACTGATGTCCGAAGGGGAGCAGCGAATACAAGCGGAGAAACAGCTGGAAGACATGAAGAGCAACGTCGAGCAGGAAATAGAGTCCTTGAAGGCTGACAAGGCTGCGTGCGAGAGGACAATAGAGGACCTGAAGATCGAGTTGGAAACCTATCAGAATCAAAGTGAACGGTTTGAGAAATCGACGATTAAGAAGGAATCCCCGACTTTCGATTTCCCGACCAACGAAGCCGACAACGCGCCTCAGTTGTTCGACGCGTCGAAAATCTTCGGTGCGGCGTCCTCCTTTGGTCCCAGTCCTCTGGACGACTCGGAAGTGCTGAAACTCCAAGCGTTGTTGAACGAGAAGGAGGCGCAATGCTCGAACCTCACGCAAGAGATCAACGATCTGCAGAAGCAGATGATAGAGGAGAGGGAAACCTCGAGGAAGGAGTTGCACGTGGCGCAGACGAATCATGAGAGAGCGGAAGAATTTCTGACCGAGTCGAAGAGGGAGGTGGAGTCGTTGAACGACGAGATGCAGAATTATATGTTGCAGATAAGACAAGCGATGGGGTCTATAGAGAAGCTGTCCTCGGAACGCGACCAGCAGACCGCTTTATTGGAGTCGTACAAGCTCCGGATGGCCGACTTGGAAGGACAATTGGGAAATTCGACCGATTCGGAACTGATACAAGACCTGGAAGCCCGCGTCTCGAACATCACCAAGGAGAGGGACTTGCTGCAGTTGCAGATGAGCGACTTGTCCAGGTCGCTGGAGGAGCTGAAGGACGCCAACGAAATTGGGAAACGCCTGCAGACGGAGATCGAGAGAACGGCGCGCGAGAGGGACGAGGCGAAAGAACTAGCGGCTAATTTGACGCGAGCTTTGGAAGACGCTCGCGAAACCGCGGCCAGAACGACCGCCGTTGCCGACTCGTTCGCCAAAGAGTCGGCGTTCGCAGAGGAGTCCTTGGCAACTCGCGCGGATTCGGATACTTCGAAGACGACCACCGACAATCTTAAAGAAACGACCCCCTCCGACACTTGGGACACTGGATCCACCGAGAAGCTGAACGTCGACGAGGAGACCTGGGGCTGGAACCCGGAAGACGCGGAATTGGCCGGCGAGCAGCAGGTCACCGCTCTAATTCCCAGCACGGAGATCCAATTGCAGGCGAAGATGGAGGATCTCGAGGATCGCATCAAGGACTTGGAGAAGGAGAGGGACAAGCTGACGGAGGAGAACAAGCATGTCCAGCTGCGGAGCGGCAAGATGATAAAGAAGCTGAAGGAGTACAAAGTGCAGGTGGAGAATCTTCAGCAGCAGTTGAAGATCCAGAAGTCGACGAGCGACTTCTACGAGCTCGACTCCGCCATAGAGGAGGAGCTGAAGTCTCAGATCAGCAGGCTGGAGAAAGCGTTGAACGAGAACAGGGAGGAGCAGAAGAGCATGGCCGCGGAGAAGGAGGCGCTGACGAAACGTCTGGACGTCGTGCTGTCGGCGAACGAGCGGTACATGGAGATGAAGGAGCGGCAGGACATGGACATGGAGGTGTTGCGTATACGGAACAAGGAGCTGTCGGACAAGGTCGAGACGCTGGACAGGCGGTTGCAGGAGGGCGCAGCCGTCGTCGAAGAGAGCGACGCTTCCCGAAACGAGGGCAGCGTTGCTCCGCTGGAAGAGGCTAAACCGGTCGATCGGCCGAAGAGATCCGTGGACGGCGAGGACTTGGAGGCCCGGTGCAAGAAGTACAAAGACGAGGTCGACGACCTCAAGGACGAGATGGAAGCGCTGGCGACGGAGAACGAACAGCTGCAGCAGGTTTTGGGCGAACTGAAGAACAAGCTGTCCGCCTTGGAGTCGAAACGGACGGCGGACGAGAACGAATCCATTCAGATCGTGGACGACCTGAACAAGAAGATCTCGGAGCTGCAGGGCATGCTGAGCAAGACTCGGGAGGAGTACGAGTTACTGAGGAAGCAGTACGAGCAAAGCTTAATGGACGCCAACGATCAGGTCTCGGTGATGAGGCAGAACGCCGATTTTCTAAAGGAGGAGACGTTCGAGAAGATCAGCAACCTGGAAGCGAAGATCGCCGATCTCCTCCGACAGATCGAAGCGTCCGAAGCGAACGGGAACAGCTTGCAGCAGAGCTTGGAGGAAGCTCTTAAGGAGAAAGCGAGGCTGGAAGATCATTGCTCCGCTTTAGTGGCCTCTTCGGAGAAGCAGTTGTCCGGTATGAGCGCGTCGATGGCGGAAGTGACTGAACTGCTGAACGTCAGGATACAGGAGGTGGCGGATTTGAAACAGGAACTGCAGAGACAGTACGTGGACCACGAGGGCGTGAAAATGCAGCTGCAGGATTCGATGCAGCAGTTGAACTTGGAGCTTGCCGAGAAGAGGCAGCAAGTGGAGAGCTTGAAGAAATCCTTGCTCGACAAGGAGAACGAGGTCGTCCAACAGCAGAGCGTGGAGATGGTCAGCGCTCTGGTGAGTCAGGCCACCCAGGAGCTGGTGCAGAAGCACGCGATCGAGATCGAGAAGAAAGAGAAAGAGGTCCGTCAGCTTACCGAGAGGATATCCGCATTGGAAGCGACGGCGAACAACTGTTTGCTGGAGAAGGAGAGCAGTACTGGCCAGTTCGAGGCTCAGAGGCAGGAACTGGAACGTCTGAGGAGCGAGTTAGCGGAGAAGGAATCGATCCAAGGATCTCTTCAGCAGAGTCTGACTTCGTTGAAGGAACAGTTGTCCGTTAAAGAGTCACAGGTGTCCGAGAACGAGGAGACGGTTCGAGTGCTCTCCGTTCAGAACAAAGAGTACATGGAAGCTGTCGGAGACTTGCAGAAGCGTTTGAACGAGACTGAAACGTTGTCCAGTAGCGTGCAAGATTACGTTTCGCGTGTCCAAAGTTTAGAGCACGATCTTGAGGTGACGAAAGCTTCTCTGGTCGAGACGGAGACAGCGCTCAGAAATTCCACCCAGGAAACTGCGACGTGTATGGCGAGTTTGGAGAAGGACAGAGCAGAGATGAACGAACTTCGCGCAGAAGTGCAAAAGGCTGACGCGTTGAGAAACGAGCTGCTGCAGAAAACCGAGCAGATTAATCATTTGAGTTTGGAATTAGAGGCTGCCAACGACACTTTGAACGAAGCTAGGCAGAGCTTGAACGACACGGTGTCTTCACTGGAGGCGAGCAATCGAGCACTGGCTGAGAAGCAAATGGAACTGGAGAGGCTGTCAGCTGCACCCCGTCAGAGTCCGTCTGAGATAGACGGTTTGCCCGTGTTCAGGATGGCCGACGACACTCAAAGTCTGCAGCGCACGATCGACGCTATGCAAGCCGAGCTGGATAGAAAGCAGGGCGAAATCGACAATCTGAAGCACATTTTAGACGAGAATACGTATCCCAGTATACTACAAGAGATGCAAGACAAGATGAACGTCCTGTACAACGAAAGAGCTGAACTGGAGGCTGCTCTAAGAACGGCGGAGCTGCGAATCGCGGAGAAGGACAAACAACTCGATGCTCTGACGCAACGAATGGAGGCACCGTGTCGGGAGGAATTAGTGTCCAAAGAGGAGGCGAGCATGTCCGCGAAAAGTCGGAGGTCCGCGGAGGACCAGGAGGAGATCGTGAGGCTGCAGAACGAGTTGCACACCAAAGAGCAAGAGATCAACGAGCTGAAGTACGTAATAGCCGAGAAGGACTCGCAGTTGTCCTTGCAGGCCAGCATGGAGCCGCAGTCCGACGACTTCGAGCTACGCGAGATGGTGCAGAGGCTGACCGCAGAACTGTACGCCAAGGAGCAGGAGATTCAGCATCTTAAAACGATCATCACCGGACTGGAGCAGGAAGTGTCTCAGCTGCGGGAGCTCGAGAGGCTGTCGGAGGAGACCAGGAACGCCATAGAGAAGCTGAGCGTGGAGAAGGAGCAGGTGCGAGTGCAGGCGCAAGAATTCCTAGAGCAGAAGCTGAGAGAGAAGGAGATGGAGATCAACGAGGTAAAGGAAAGGCTGTCCATCGAGAACAGAAACATTCTGAGCGAGTTGCAGTTGAGAGACAGAGACATCGAGAACCTGAGGAAGCAGCTGGTGGACTCGTCCACGGTGGGACAGAGATTAACGGACGATCTACACCAGAAAGAGGAGCTGATCGTACAGGTGAACGCGGACCTGGCGGAGAAGGAGCGCAGATTGGCCGAGCTGAGCATCACCAAAGACGCGGAGCTTCATAACTTGAAGGTGCAGATCCACGAGAAAGAAGTGCGCATCGAGGAGCTCTCGGCCCTCTTCGACGAAGAACAGAAGCAGCTGAGGGACCTGAAGAACACGCTGGAGGCCAGGGAGACTGAAATAAATTCGCTGAAGACACTCCTGGAAGATAAAGTGAAGGAGTACGAGATGATCCAGAACGTGCTGAAGAAAGACGTTTCCATCATGGACACTTCCGCGGTGCGGAACCCAGAGGCTTCGAGCGAACAGAACAGTACGTCGACCTCGCAGGAACTGGATCTTGCTCTGTACATGCTCCACCAACGAGACGTTAGATGCGAGGAGCTGACGCACGAGTTGATGCAGCTGCTGGAAGAAAGGGACACCCTGCAGCTGCGCCTGTCGAACGCTATCAGGGTGAACGAGGAGCTGAGGAAAGGAAGCAATCCCGATTTGAGTCTCACGCAAGAACCTTCTATCTCTGGAACAACTGAACCGCATGTGGAACATCCCTCGCCTTCGAAGTCCGAAGGACCAGTCGAGATTGCCAAAGAAGCCATCGATGCTCCGATTGGAGAAGACAAGGAGACTCTTGCTCTGAAGTACGTATTCTTCGTGTTCCGGTTAACTTGTCATCAGAATCTCGAGTCCAGATTATTTTCGAGGTTGTTCCTTTCACTCATTCCTCTATAAACAACTGTTTTCTATAAATGAAATTCCAGTCATTGTGGAACATTGAATTCTGTTTGTAAAATGGTACTCTGTAGCTTTCCACGTTGCACTGTTTAAAGACTACTTAATATCCGAATTTGCTTAGTATGTAGGAGACCACGAAACAAGCTTTACCAGTTGATCCATCCTCTACTCCGTAAACCCACATGTTTTACAAACACTCGAAGCTCCGGCAGAATTTCCCCAAGATGTAAATGTTTCAGTTAGAACAAAATTTTGGAGTTCCGTCCTGAATTTTACAGGCACAGAGGTTTGGTATATATGTATATATGTTTTAATATGTGCGAATCAATTTTTCCTTTAGATTTGTTTGCTTGTATCATATGAATAGATTCAATTTAACACGTTCACGTTGGCAAGAACATTTGATTCTTTTTCTGTTTCCATTGTCTTCCATTTTGATCCACTGATAAACCGGTATTACTTATGAAAAGTGAAGTGTTTAAAGTTAAAACTCGGTGCAACAGAAAAATCAGCAAATTGTCGTTAAAGGAACGTGTTAATGTTTGACCAGTAGCGCACACGCCCCTAGTTTTACTGTAAAAGCTAGTTTGCTCTCTAGGCTGTCACAGTTGCACACGGTGAGCCATGCGAAAGACGTGCGATTGAGGGATGAACGAGAATTGAGGCACACGCAGCAAATGTCTTTGCTAGCGCACAAAGACGTCCTAAGTACTTTGCCCCCAGAAGCAGCTGCCAGGCTCGTCAATGCGAATTACACACTATGTATGTATCATCAAACGTTAAACACGATGTTCTATCAATATCTTTATTTTCCGTACATTTTTCTGTGAATACTCTTTGATTTTTGCTTTTTACCTAGGTGATATCTCTAGTGCCTATTCCTCTTTTAGTTAAGACGTATTTCCATTTTTTTGGAACACGCAAATTATTAATATTCAGCTTAACTTTAAGGAAGAAGAGAAATGATTCTAACGTAAAATAAATCTGCTTACAGCTAGGGATGTTCAGAGTCAATCGAGTGTTTTACTGAACTGGCTGTGGGGAAAAAGGTGAGTCTAATTTGAATGTTATTCAACTTGAAAGACTTTTGTTTCACGTGTCCTATGGTTTTCTTATAGCACGCCAAAGGTGGTACACATGTGATGGGCTTCTGACATCGGTGAAGTGGACATCCTCCTTGCCTTCTGGATACATTCCTGCCAAGTGCCAACTGCCAAGACAATTCCTGTAATTAGACTAGGCCGGACATGATAAATGCATTTGCTGTGTAGCAACGTCTTGGTCGAGTTTATCGTTGCGGGTGGCCATACTTGCGTCGAGTTACGCTCGCCCCGCCGAAGGGGATTGAAAAAGTATTTGTATTTTCGCCGTGACATTTCCGAGCGATGGTAACGGAGTCCTGCTTTCCTAGGCATCTAAACCGGAAGTCTCTCCTCTTCGGGTCAGAAGAGAGTGCCGAGGAGACGACTTCATTTGTATCATAATCGTTGTATAGCCATCGTTTTTAGGTGCACTGAACGAAGAATTGCCTTGGAGAAAACTGTATATTTCAGTTATTTTATTAGCTACGAGTACTGTTAATATTGTAAGATGTTTCCCGGGTATCGGACCGATACCCAGGAGGTGTGTTTGCTCCGATGATTACTCTTTCACGTTCTCGTAATCGTTGCGTTGCAATCTGTTCGCGTAAAATTGTGTTTCTGCGACTTGGCCGTCTTCCGATGGTTTTCCATTGGAAAGGGAAACGAGAGCTGTTCGAGAGGAACTCTGTCTCGTCGCAACAACTGATACAGTATGTTCACTGTAGCAACTTGTCCATCGATGGTGGTGCCGTAATTGTCCGTTATTCTTTGACCATATTGATTCGAACTTTCTATTTCCACGAAATTTTGTACAGAGAAAAGTAAGCGTCGGCGAATAAATAAATTATAAGACGAAATATTTCTTCATCGGACGTGTTCTTTTATTGTCAAACTGATTCTCTCTCCTTTCCGATTTTCGGAACAGTCCGAAGAGGTTGATTCAGTACACACAACGTCCTATACTTTATTGATCGAACCTTGCGCGAGTACAACAAACTTAGCTAAGCAAGCGGTACTTCCTGGTCATCATTCTTCATCCTATTTCAGTTATCCTGGCAATAGTATAACTTCGTAGTATACCACGAGGATAGCCTGTTATCATAAATGAAACGAGATAACACGAGGTTGAAGTCGTAGAAAAATAAATCCAGTTTATCGATTACTCTATTTTCCTTAGCTCATCGTGAATTGTAACGTCCCATAGAACCTTTCGGCTATCAAAAGAGGCATGATCAGGACCTCCGAGTCCACGTTCGGTTACTATAATAAATCTTTACAACGATTACCACGGATTCCGACCTCGCGCATCCCGCTGCATAATGTCAGTTTATTTCATTGCGTTTAACTATGTAAGCTGGTTTGGTCTCCAGCAGCCTCTGCGGCGTAAACGACTGTACGTGTCCACTTGTACTCGCGGTCATCTCGTAATCGCAATCAACATTCTCAATCCTCGATGATCCAAGCCTCCTATACCTCGCAATTAGCAATGTCAGCACACCGAGGATGAACAGACTAACGATTATGGACATCAAGGTGACCGCTGACGACGGATACAATTTAAATCCATCCGTGTTCCTGTAGCTCAGTGCCAAGGGATTGGGTTCGTCCCAGCTGGTCCACGTGTTGTTCCACAGTGCCGGATCTGCTCTGGGGTCACCGTCCAAGTTGCTGGGAGGCACAACGGTGAGTCTGTTCTTCATCACGATTTTCTCTAGTATCGCCAGAATTAACGGTCGCTTTTCAGCGAGATTCACCATTTCGCAGGGATCTCTGGCTATGTTGAAGAGGCAGGGCGCTCTTAGGGGATCGCAAGGGATCTACGGAGCAACAACGCGAAATTCAAACTTCGTTCGCTTCCATTGTAACTTCGTGTTACTCACCTTCTCTTCGTCTTTGACGTTACACTCGAGTCGAGCACTCCGTCGTAACTGCAGTATCTCATCGGCGGTGAGTATCTTCTCCTGGAAGTTCGTCCTCAAGATCGCATCGTCCAGATTCCGTTTTCTCCTTTCTCTCAGTTCCATCGCTTGTCTGGCCGTTATGATTCCGGAAATCGCGACGCCTGCTTTGCTGTGCAACACCTTGTCAGGGTCGTAGACGGGAGGGACACCTTCGGCCGGGCTCCCAGACGCGCCGACCCAGTTGCTGCCGGTTTCCGTTTGACCGATCACATATTTGAAGTCGCCCCGTCTGATTGCTGTGTAATTATCGACGTCGTTGATGTTGAGCACTATCTCCGCCCTGGAGCTGGGTTTGTTCGACACCAGTGCTGGCCAAAGATTGAAGCCATCGAGGTGATTAAAGTGTTTCTCGTGCACACCTAGCGAAGATCGAGGGAGGAGAAATAAGAGGAAATTAGTTGAAGATATCACCTCAATATTAAGTAATACTCGGTTGGCTAGAAAGTTTCTCCTGCTTTTTAATCCGGCATTAAGTGGCTTCAGTGCATTTAAGTAGTACAGTGTATAATTTACTTAGTGGATATTTAATGAGGAAGGTTTAAATTCAACAGCTAAACAAACCGGTTGTAATCGATACTAGTAGCTTACTAGTAGCTTTAAAAAGAAATTTCTTTGAAAAGCAAGAAGAATTTAGTCAATATTCCCGCAATTTATTAACTCACCTGCAGCGGACAGCAACGTAGGAAACCAATCCGCCACGAACATCATTTGATTCGATACTCTCTTCGACTGTTGGATCAGTGGGCTCCAAATAGCTGCGACTCCGCGCGTTCCTCCTTCCCACGGGCTGTCTTTCATCTGCAAGATAAACAAACGTTCAACTCCAAAGCCTGTACTCGAAGTTTCTCACACGAATATCTATAAAGAAACAATTTACGCCTCGGAGCGGATAATTGCTGCCTTGATTACTCAGGAAACCTTCGGTTGGCGCGCCGTTGTCGCTCATGAATAACACTATACTGTTTTCCAGCATTCCACGGGTCCTCAGAGCGTCCATCACGTCGCCGACGCTTTGGTCCAATTTCGATACGACAGCTGTGAACAGGTGAACAATACGAATTTTAAAAGATTCCGCAAAGATCACCGACGGTACAAGACTTGCAGCTGATTAAAAATCTTATAATTTCAAGGAAGAAGCGGTTTACCAGCTTGAATTCTTCTTTCAGGGTCCACGATGTACGCGAACTTCGCGATTTCCTCGTCAGGAGCTCGCAGCAGTTGATTCTGATTGCCTTTGTGAGGCGCCAGGTGAGCCAGATAGAGGAACATCGGCTGATTCGCGTCGTGTTCTCTGATCAATCTCACTGCTTCGTTGGTGAAGAGGTCGGTGGAGTACTGGCCACTGGTGTCCCAAGCGACAGAAAGGTTCCGTCGCATGTCGAAGCCACGGAAGTTCGAAAACTCTCCCATCTGCGAAACATTCGGACGCTTAATTGCAATGATCTATTCGGAGGCTGTTCGGCGAAACTCGCGAAACGAAATGAAAACGGCAATCTGAACGGTCTCGACGGCGTTTCAAGATGGCGGAACAGTAACGGTTCGTTTCGTTTACATTCGGAGTTTCTCCGGGCGAAGCGTGTTAAAAGCGTCGCTGGTAAAATGATCTGATCGAGTAATTACTGGTTCTTGGGTGATATGCGTGTAATAATCTTGCAGACCGTTCCAGTAGCCGAAATGGGAATCGAAACCGCGGTACGTGGGAGTGTACGCTTTCCTGTGGAAGCCTAGGTGCCACTTGCCGACCGCGTGGGTCTTGTAGCCTGCTCCTTTCAAGTACTGTAACATCAAATTTGAATATCAGTCTCATCACTTCTGTGTCAACGTTGATACTACGCTGGTCGACGTTAGTTTCAACGCAGTGGAGAGTAGCAACGTGATGCGTGAATATAAATGGTAAATGAAATTGATTATTCGAACTTTAAACGACTGTGATACAATAATAGTTTTATTTAACATGAACATCAAGTTTTATACTAGAAATATAAATAGATATAACGATCAACGTAGAATAGAAATTCTGTTCTAGAAATAAGTCTACAGTCAGATTCGGAATGGCATTAATATACTGCGATATATCCCAAGCGTAAACGTTTATTTGACGATCTACCTGAGGCAACAGTTTCTCGGTTAACGGCAGCCCTCGCGGCTCAGCGGGGAGGATAACAGAATGTTGCATGCCTAGGTGAATCGGGTTCTTTCCAGTCATTAGAGCAGTTCTGCTTGGTGTGCATAATGCTGGGACGTAATGGTTATTCAAGATGATCCCGTTGTACGCGAGAGCATCGATGTTCGGCGTCGGTATTTGATCGGACCCGTGAAAGCTCACATCGTTCCAACCCTAGAGTTATAAGTTAATGTTCGAATGTTATCGATGATTAATCAAAGATCAGGTATTCTTAACGAAGCTTAGAAAAATTATGTTAATCGTGCCCACCATGTCGTCGGCGAGAATGATGATGATATGAGGCTTCTGTTTCTTCGTCTGATGACGACGACACTCTTCATCGAAGTCAAATTCTTCGTCTGTCACTTTCACTGCCAACGGAATGCTCGTCTCCGCCGTCAGCCTCGACAGAAGCGACGAGAAGAAGAACGCGACCGCGCTCGTTACCAGGAGATCCGACAGCACCATCAGGATCAACAGCTTCCATGCGAACGTGACGGTCATCTCGAAAGCGACTGCAATAATAAAAACACACGTTGGATGGAAGAATCAGTAGAAAATTCATAGACAGAATAAACAAGATTTCTATTAACACTAGAACTGCCGTAACAGTCAAAATGACTTTTATTGCTATCTTCGAAGCATTGAATATTCGAAATGACTTTGAAAATAAATAGTTTCCTTTCAGTGTTATAATGAATAGACTCATTACTGGATAGACTCGTTTCTGGATAGACTCGTGGCACTCAAACGATACCGTGTTCAACTAGTATACTCGTCAGTAATACTAATTTTCTCAACAATCATTTATTGATTCATTTATTCAAATAACCATGTAACTCTTTTTCATCCCGCGTTATTTATCCCAATACACAGATCCATTTGCCTTAATGTACTCATTCTTCGATTCACCCGCAACAGATTTTCCAAATTCATTTCCACAGTTAACCGCCTTCTCCTCATTTCACAAAGAGCAATCCTCTAACCGAACGCATCACTTTTCCCACTTCGTACGAAACATCTCAAAACAGAAACAAATGTCTCTAACGAAATCCACGGCGGCGCGAAGGAAATCTTTCGCGCGGTGATCGTCGAGCAACGGGCAAGTCCAACGGAAGTTCTTTTCCCATGGAAACGAAAGTTTCTCTTACGTTGCCGGCAAAAGGCATGGAGGACCGTCGACGGCGAAAGGTATCCTGTTATTAGCAGGAAGACGTCCATTTTTTGCGTTTGCGCCAGTTGAGCATCTTCCCGGGTGAACAGGACGAAGGAGATCAGTTGTCCGGCTCGTCTTTTGCAACACGAGAACCAACTGGCTGTGGAAACTCGAGATGTCTTGGTTTATTATCACTTCGGATTTTCTGCACGGGAGGGGCGGCAGGAAGGGGGAAAGCGCGGCGTAAGGGGAGGATCTGGAGCATAACGAAAGTATTCCTCCGGGGGAGGAAAAACGAGGCGGCGCCGCCGGGTGGAAAAACTTCGCGCGGTTTCAGCGGTTTCCAGTGACGTTCACCGAAAGAAATGATCCTCTGTAGATCTCGAATCGGTAAACATTCCTATCCACCGCGTGACAAACGTGTTTCCGGTGAAATCGCTGCTTTACGCGCTCGATCGACGGAGGATCGAAATTTCGAGTCTTCGTCGCGCGTCCGGGTTTTTGGGGAATTCTTGCAATGATCAATCAATGATTCGCGACTAGAAATGTTCGTAGATCCTTTGTAGCTCTACTTTAGGTTACTCTACTCGCAATGATTGCATCCCGATGATCATTAATTTTGAAAAGGGAATAGGTTGTGTATTTTTAGTTGCGAGATGTTTAAAGGTTTGAATAGATTGGAGGACAGTTTTATACTGTTTGATGACGTATTTTGAAAAGTGTTTAGTCATGTCTTTGTGTGTAATTTTAGGAAATGATTTTTGATGATCATGACTCGGACGGTTTTCATAGTTAGGGGCACGATTGTTCAGTTTTCTCGAAAGCAAGATGAAACGAAGATTCGATCGGAAATGTGTCTTTATTGGAAGGAAGACGTAACTTGGAAGAATTGTATAAATTAGCAATGACGTCTGCGCTATGGAAGAAAAGGACTAAATTAAAGCTACCTCGCCGACAGAAAAGCGTGACTTTAACAGGGAAAGTTACGTCGAAGGAAGCACCGTGTAATGCTGTCGTTCGCTGGTAAATTGTACAGGAATTGCTGGAACGTTTCGAACCAATTACGTGTGCCCGGTGAATTATCATAAATGTTTTTCACCGTTTCAGGAAGCAACGGGAAAGGTGAAATGTTTCTTGGACGGTGACGTTCACCGCGGGGGAATATTCAACGTAATAATTTACGTCGCCGAGCCGAACGGGTCTCGGCTGTTTGCCAAATATGATGTGAATAATTAGATGGGAACGTAAATAAAATTTGCGCGTCAGTCAATCCCGCGGCGGTCAATTAAATTTCCAATCGCGGTGATGTCGCGGATAGCCGCGGACGCGTCCGCTCCCGAAAATCGGCTCGCTAATTGGCTCTGATTCCCTCGATTTGCTCCGATTATCCTGGTTCCCTTGTACGATTTCGCTACATTGTCCCCGGCGGCGTTTCATATGTTCAACATACATCGCGTGACGAATGGGAATGCTAACAGTTACGATAATCCTGTGATTTTCAATGACTAGCTCGTCGTTGCCTCCTGGAAGCTAAATCTTAACAGTTCGACTGTAAAGTGAACGCTCGTCGAAACTCCCATGTGCTCGAAACAGTTTCCTTCCTTAAGTAAAAACTAAACGGTCAAGATTCTTCGTAATAATTGCTCTATCTCTGTTATATCTCATCATCCAACGAAATTCGGTTCGTTCGGTACGTTACCAAGAAAATTAATATTCAAATTTACGTGAAAAATAGTGTCCAAATTTGGGTGACGCGGCAGCAAAGCGTTAATTATGCAACGAACCTTTCACACGTGCGAACGGTGACAACAGCGGCCAAAATTCGAACTTTTACCAGTAAAATTAAGGTCACGAGGATATTCGAAGCTAAAACACGCGAGATTGTTAGAGATTCAATAATTCCTGTTAATCGCATCTCTCCAGATATTTTTTTAACATAAAGTTCTTTGTTACGCGCAACAGATCGTTAGAAGATTGATACTCCGACAGAAATATTCTAATTCTCGTCTCCGTTTGAACGCGAGAAGCTCGCAGCAATTAGCTCAAGATTCTCTTCATTTTCACCGAAATGAGTACGTTAGGGGGCGAAAAATTTGCCGGACGCGAGCACGTTAATGTAATATTCCAACTGTGAGAAAATGGCGGCGGCGGCGAGCGTGTTAATAAACCGCGAGAGGAATCTCCTTCGTCGTGACATTTAGGGAAAGATTGCGCTTTAAATGGCACCGTTATCAGCAGCTGAGCGGAAAAAGAAACCGGGGGAAAATTTCTCATACATTTTCCCCTGGAATTACGGAGACGACTGCGTACACCGGTGATTTGCAAGGTGGTTTCCACGGCGCATTAAGCGCGCAGAACCGTTGCGCGGCGTTGGTCCAAGAAATTCGTGAGCCAGCCGTGGATGCAGGCTCCTCATTAAGCGGTTACGTTAATAGAAAAACCGTATGATGATTAGCTAGCAGGTTATCGCGCATCGTGCTCCAGCTAATGACTCTGTTAATTAGTAACTATTTATTAAGTCGTTTGTAAACTTCGTACCCGTATCGCGATCGCAGATAACATCGTGAATATTTCGAAGCGTTTCCTGGTTGCTAACAGCCTTCGAGCGATCGGGAAAATGGATATAGTTGATGTAAAACGAGTTTGTAGTATATAGTTTAGATAAACATTAAGAAAAACAGTAGAATCGATAACTTCAAAGTTATTCGTACGTTATTGGCACTGAACATGTGACTGGTCGAATAACTGCTTTCAAAGTACCATTTTGAGTTTTGCGTTCTCTTTCGTTCGTTCAACTTTATATTAGATCATATATTTTCATATTAATCAGTTTTCAAATTGTTACCCGTCGCTTCAGTTTCCGACAAGAAAGATTTACGTTTTGCTTTGTTTATTTCGCGATTGGTGATCTTAAAAGCATCGAATATGCGAAACGATCTTGAAAATAGCTTCGCTTGAATACGATGATTGTCTGAAGAAACCGGAAATAGTCCGTTGCTACATTCTTCGTAGGGATTGCATATTAATCGTGGTAAATGCTCGGTAGTTCTGTTAATAACTAATACCAAACGAACGCGTCATGCCAATCTTTTTGCTGGAATTCCTTCGGTGTGCGTGTTATACCGTAATACCGTTCGTAACATTAACAGGCTACTAAGGAAAAAGACGTGATAAATAGCGATTACAGATCACAGCTATCACAGATTACAATCCTCCGCAGTTCTTTTTCATGATTTCTCTTACTCGTTACCGTTATTTACATCCTGCTAGGTGATAGCAGGTGATGCTTCTCATAGCTTAATCCTAACCAATCACTTTGTATATACTTATTCCTAACTAGTTAAATCACTGTCTACAGAAGGAAGGTAAGAGATATTAGATGATACATTTTTCTTGGAGAGAGAAATGAAAGGAAAGACGAAAATTGAGAAACTGAGCAATCAAGCAATATAAAAATAAAAGGGAACGCAGGATTTTCAATAAAATGTTGAAACTGGTTAGTGTTGATGCACTCGGAAAGTTTGTTCAAACAGATTTACCGTGGTTATAAAAAGATACGATAAAATGATGTTCCACGCGTTATTCCATTATATTCGGAACTCGAGCCGCGGGAATAAAGTAAATTGTACACTGGACTGGCAATGTTGAAGCACCGCTGCGCCCGCCGCCATTTTCAATTCATCCCGTACAGTTACGCGTTCACTGAAATACGATTATTTCACGCGTAATTCACGCGCGTTCTGGCTTTCCCTCTCTCCGAATCAATCTCTCATTTTCATCTGACCGACATTCCTCGCGCAAAAACACCGCGATGCGATTAAATCTCATTGTCCGCGCGTCGGGAACACCGGGTTATACCGTCGGCCGTTTACTTTTACTTTCCGCGAAACGAAAATATCCGTTTGCAACGGCGGAATAATCGAACGCGACCCTTTTTGTTCGACAGTGCGGTCGTCTCTGGAAAACACCAAAATTTTACTACTTACACAACGAAAATCGGAAGTTGCCAATGCGCTGCTAAGATTTTCATTACAAAAACAACGATTTTCTGCGAATCAAACTCATTTCTCTATTCATGTAACGTTGGAATCGAAACGTAAATTATCCATTGTCATCGAACAAACGTCACAATATCCCCGTAATGTAAAAAATAACATTACCACCATATACTCAGCTCTATACCTTACAACTTTTGTCTGAAGTATTCGTTGCTATCGCTCATACTTTTGAAGTTATCGAGGTTCAAGCTATTGCTCTCGTCACGGTTTTTGTCGCAACGGCGTTTCATTATCGAATGAAAACCCAGTTTAACTGTTGTCAGCTGCCAGTGTTCTCATAGCACGAAACTATAGTGTTCGTATTAGTACTCGATTATAGTACTCTCGTCACAGTACTCGTCAGAAATAGGTAACTGCTTAATTCCTATGCTCAGCGAGTCGTTCGGGACTGAAGTAACCAGAGCCGAGGAAGAAATTCGAATTACATAAAGGAAAATTTCACTTTCCGCGTTATGGTGAATCTTTCGCGTGAAACGTGCGTATTTATTTATATAATATATTCATTTCGTATCACTTTCGTTATCCTTTAACACTAGAACCGAGGTCTTAAACCGTTCTACTCGATACTTGTGACTATTGCCAGTAATTCTACGAGAAGTACGTGTAACGATCGATTCCCTAATGCAAGTTCTTTTTCAAATTCCAATCCAGAAGACACTAACGCGTCGACGGATTGATTTATTTTTAGTCTGATTCACCGTACCCTCACTTTCACCACGAATTTCCTCGCACCTCGCGTACACTCTCCTCGCATCGCTATGTACATAATACAGTTTTTAACGGAACCTTTTATTCGTTCGCCGGAATTATCCGTTCTCGTGTGAAGGTATTAGTTTGTCTATAATACATGATTATATCAAGATGCGTCTTATCTGAATTGAAAAATGGCACCTGCGACGAATGTGTTTCGGCCGATGTTTAATTAGAGGATCGGTTACAGCACGAATATTTACGGAATGAGGGCTCACCTCGAAACACAATGCTGCAAACTTTCTTGTTCACCAGTTCGTAGGAGACTGCGATTCGTCTAATTCACGCTTAAACGGCTTGCTCGCACAACCTCGACAACAGTTTTTGTATTTCAGCCGTCATCGATTACGGTGTGGAAGATATAATCGAATGCACAGATGAAGCATGGGAAGATAACGGCGTATAAATAGCGAATTTTATTTATGTCTAGCAGAAAAAGTCCCATGTGGGTCTAGACGTCGCGATGTTATTAAGAAAAACACTGTTCTTCGCGCGAGAAAAGTGGATAATGGGAAAATCGTGGATCGGATCTGAGGATTCCTTATTTATTTAGGAATTAAGGTTTCGATTGTTTTGTTCAGCAATTATCGATATCTTCGAAGCATTGAATATTCGAAACGATTTTGGAAATAAATAGTTTCATTTCAATACTATAATGAATGTCTGAAGAAACTGAAGATAATCTACTGTTACAATTTTTATAGGAATCGCATATTAATCGTATTAAATGCTCGGTAGTTCCAGCGTTAAATACATAGAAACGAGAGGCAAGAGGAACATTGAAGTATTGAAGCTGAAGAAATATAATTGAAAACTTCCATCGGATCTCTAATGAAGAAACATAGCTCCCTAAGCAAATAAGAATCGTGTTGTACCGTTATTTCTGGATCGGAGCCAGGCTGCCCGAAAAGTCGCACTTTACGGTCTCCCTTCCGGACGTATAAAGCGAACGAAATGAAATAATGATTTCACGCTTCCTTTTGTCCCGCGACGGAAATGAAATAAAGCATACACTGGATTATGGCCAACGACCTCGCCCAAAATCCAGGCTCACCGATATTCGCGTCCACCCGCGAGGCGAGTCGTAGAAATCGTCCGCATTAAATCACGAAAAATCGCCGGGAACCTGTAATCTTCGGATTAACCTAATGCATTAAAATAATAGATTTTCTTGCGCGAATTTTTATCCGCATAAGGATACACGGTGTGCACGGAATTTCCAATTTTCTCAATTGCACGGACTGTAACAGATTCGTCTGGATACACGCCAACGACCACCGGCTGCGAAACCACCTTGAATGTTAATCACGATCTCCATTCCTGGTGCTTTCTTTTTTCATCGATTTTCTACTGGACCCGCGAACAGCGTGAATGATTCTTGCACGTTTCCATTTGCAGACTTTGATATTCGTCGGATGTAAATATCAGCGAACGAGATTTTCAGAGGTTTCGTAAGATCATAGAAGATTCACGTTTGAACAGCGAAACGAAGACAGAAGACACGCGTCGGATATTAATATTAATTATATTACGAAGCAATGAACTCGATTAAAGTAGATGAGATAATTTTCAGGATTTAGATTTAATACACTGTCAAGAAGTAATGGCAATTCGGAAACGCTACCGTTTTCTCCAGATTCCGCAAACATTGTAACAGTTGCTCGTTTGCCAATTAGACGCTTCGCGTTTCGAATCATCGCCGCGGAAGATTCGAGTAATTACCTAAGTCTGTCTTACGGAAGATCCACCAGCTGACATGGTTCTACGCGACACGTGGCGCGACTGTTAAACGTTTCATTGCGAGACTATTTTCGCGCTCGTTTTCGGTAACTTCCCAGGGAAGTTTTCTAATTATTAGAATAATACGGTAACTTCTCGGACTGTCGACGTTCGTATTCAATGTGTTAATGCATGAGCAACAAAATGGCGTGTTGTTCGATGAGAATTTCGTTTGAAACAATTCCGTGGGTTGTTTCGATGACACGCCAGATTCGGGTATCGATGGAGGGAACGCGAGCAATGGCTGCAACAGGCGTCTCGCAGGTAAACAACCACTGCCTCCCCGCCATCTTGTTAGCATTCATCGTGAACCAGTTTGCACCGAAGTGTCGAGATAGTGCGATACCTACACAAATTATTTTCCGCGCATTCGTTTAAATTTCTTAACAGGGGAAACAGTGCGATCAATATTGAAATGTATTCCGTCCGGCGAACGGCGGACGTCCGCAACAATTTTTCATCATTTCGCTTGAATAATTTTGAATATTTTTTAACGCGCACCGAGCGTTCGTGCTTAAATGCTCGACCATTTGTCTGAATATCTGAATATTCGTTCGAGACAGCTTATACTGAACGATCCCCCGGATTCGCGCGGACCGAAAGTCTCGAACAACAATGCTATTCTCTCAGAAAGTTTGTACACTTTCGTATCCACCAAGATTCGAAGTGTTCTTATAGTTGTCGATTAACTATTGTATTAGTAGATATTAAATGCTAACACGAATTTCGTGGTAACGCGATTAATAAGGTTTTAATTCATTTCAGATCGCTGATGGATGACAAGGTATCGCATGAATCCGTCTGTTGAGCTTCTCAATGGTGAGTTTTATAATTTATATTTGCTGATATAAAGTGTATATTAATCAAATCTTTTTATACTTATAAGGAAAATCATGATTCCAACAAATAACGACTTGTTGCCTAAATATCGATTTTATTCGTTCTTTTCGAGATTTCTGCCGAAGGTCTTCATATTATTATTAATTCATAAATAATAATGATATTTCGTTTTGTATTATAATGTAAGGTTCGAAGTATCAATTTTCAGTACTCGAACTACTTGCACATGAATCAAAGAATCAAGAGGCAAGAATCGAATGATCTCGAACGCCATCGTCGATAGTCGAGTTCGTGGAAGATGATTGCACGGACTCGGTCAGTCCTAGATTCCCAGATGGTTTACTGTCGCTCGTAATCCCTTCGGTGTCCCCATGCACAATGTTCCTTTCCGTGAAACACTGGTCAGCCTTAACGAGCGGTTTTTTGCATCCTCGTCCCGCCATAATTACATTTTAACTGTGTCCACAAACAATGAGAGAACGAGAACTATGATCATCCTAGACTTGGTCGCAAACAGAAATGAAATATTCGCGACACAATTACGTAACAGTTGATGCATTTGCTTCGTACGACAGGATGAAAGATATTTTGTTACCGGTAAATTAGTATTCTTCGTTAAGAACGATTAACCCTTTGCACTCCATAGGCTCCAATATTGCACCAAGAATAACATTAGATATTTTAATGAATCCTAAAGAAACTACAATTATTAGATTTTCACACATCCAAATTTTGCACTAAGGAAAATGAAAGATCTAAGAAATGTTATAGCATCGTTCATTTTCGCTAGGGGTACTATAAAAATTAGTTGCAGTTGCTGATAGATTACAAAACCATCTGGAGTGCTACGGGTTAAATCGCAATATGGAATCGTAATAACATGGTAATTAATTAGAACAATACGAAGTATGGTTAATACTGATCGTCTATTAATTGAAACTCCAATTAAACAATGCGAATGCTTTAACTAAAATTATACAGAACGAATCAACTGAATCCGATCGTATTCGAACGATAGATTCCACTGTTATCAGATTCCGCGTCGTTCCCAGATCTTCGTGAATTATCTTTCGAGCCGCGTTTCGTCAGAATCAGAGCCAATTAACCGTCCAAGATATGAAGAATCGATGCGGAACTAATTTGCAGACAACAACGGGTTCCCCGGGCTCCGTGTTTAATTACACGTGATAAATAGACGTCCTTTAATCGCGACGCTGCCCCCTGCCCGGGAACTTAAACCAATTACACTTTTGCTTGTCGGAGAGTTACAAAGCGATTCGACGTTCTGTTAGAATCCCTCGTCGTTCCCCGTTCTTCCTTCGATCTTACCCCGTGAATACGTTAAGATGACCCCGATCGGCTCGCAGAATCGAACAGATACGAATGCACCGAGTGTCCTGGAAAACGGTTCCATTCGTCCGTCGATTCGTTCAACTATCGGTCAAAATTGACCCCTCGCGCACGAGAGTTTTCTAGAGGGAATCGTCAACGTTTCGCTCTCATGGGAAACTAAGTAATGAGAATTTTGTTATTAGGAAGTAACCGACGAGACGAATTTTCGTGGAAACTAATGAGAAAACTCTTCTGATTAGAAACTAGTTAAGGAGAAAATGCTTATCGCTAGAAACTAATGAGAAGACTCATTAGAAACTAACTTAATTAAGCATATACAAATGAAACGAAGCTACTTCGTCTGAATATTTCCTGCATCGATGCATTACACGATTATTAATTAACACTAGAACTACCAGTCAAAATGACTGGTTTTGATCTGTTTGTTTCGCAATTAATATCTTAAAAGCATTCAATAATTTCAATGATCTTGAAAATAAATAGTTTCATTTCAATACTATAAGGAATGTCTAAAAAAACTGACAATAATGAAACTGACAAAAATGCTCGGTAGTTCTAGTGTTAATTTCATATCGAACCGAGTCGCTCAGAATCACCTCTCGTCTAAAATGTTAAATTAAGAATATACTTAAAAGTTTCCATGATGCAACCGATTATTATCGTATCTTCAAAATTTCAGTAGTACGTAACGCGAGAATTAATTATTCATATCGACGCATGAAATTGTATCGTTAATATTGGTGACTCGTCAAATACTGTGCGATTGTTCACTTCGATCGCCATTTGAATCCAACATTGTCTTTAATAAGGAGCAACCTGTCGTTGCGCGATAAGATCAGTGACACAGCTGTCCCTCCAAAATTCAACGAATTTCGAACAGCCCGTCGCTGACCCGTGGCCCCTGTACGTCCAGTTCTCGAATCTCTTTATTGCGCGTACACCCCGTACGTTGCGCAAGCAGCTCGCTACGTGAGTAAAGTGGCGAATGGGATGTAACGAATAAATACCGTAAAATACATTATTTATTTTGCGAACGGGAACGCTTGTCTCCGAAGAAAGGAGAGCTTATGTAAATTGAATTTCTTCGTGAGCCGGGTCTTAATTGCTCTAATTGAGCTACGTGATCGCGCGTTTTTACGCTGACCGCAGCTCGCTTCCACGCGATCGGTGGGTCTGATCAAATTCTCGGAACAGATTGCACTGCCACGATAGATCTCATAATATATTCGTAGTAACGCGCTTTCGATTTTCATTTAATTGCACTGGAAAGCTGAGGTTTCGTAAGAAAATTAAGTGTAATTATAAAGAACGTTGCGATGGAATTATCAGATAAAAGAAAAACGGCGACTTTTATCGACTACTCTAATCTGCGGATTACACGATCGTTTGTTATCGATATAGAGTCTGTCATTTTTCGATGACTGGCATGTTCGTAGGAATCTCACGGATATTTTATTATTCTTATCTTATAAATATCTTACACTCAATACTCCTGCAGTTGAGATAAAATTAGTCAGCAATTTATGTTACATAAATCGATGAAATAGTTTCATTCTAACTATGAAAATCTAAATTTCCATGGAGATCGATGTGGTAATTAAGCTACATCTTCTCTGTTCTATAATACTTCGTTATATTTAAATTACAAACGAACATTCGTACAAAACACTCGAACAACCATTAATCTGCTTGAACAGTCTCACAATCTCATAGAACGATCGTGCACTTTACTTCTTCTGCGGGGATTTCTGCATAGCTTGCATCTGAAAACGAAAATCGAATGTTATTTCAATATTTCCAACATTTCGAGGAATTCGTAAGTTCAGCTCTCCTTACTATATTCAGGGTGTCTGCGCCTATGTTCTGCGGCACGATGAAAAGTTCCTGGACCTGAAAGCAATATTGATTTTTATATAAACGCATCGATACGCGAAATAATAATAATAATAAAACAGCCCTTTCAGAATGTCTTCATGGAGCAAACCCCACAAAATGGAAAAAATACAATATCAAATCATTCGACTGAATTATTATCACTGCACGTTCATCGAACTGAATGTCACCGCAATGGATAGCATTATTTATAATATAGAAATGTTCGCGAATAATCATCGTTTAATTCAGTGTATCATAGTAATTCGATTTGCTTGGGTCAGCGGTAACCCCCATGGCATTCAACGTGTCAACTTCGAAGAATATCGTTTCGATCTCATCGGAAACCGTCGAGTATTTCCCGGCGAGGAACTTCCGGCTGCAAAGGATTAATTAAAATTCGAATCGCGGAGATTGACTTGCTCGCGAGGCAGGACTTAAAACTTTAATCGATCTCGAAACAATGAGCCGAACAATCTCGATGAACGCGGAACAGGTTCCTGCGATCGACAGCTCCCCGTTCGCCGTCTTCATACTTCGGACAATCGATAGTTCGCAGGAAGTCGAATTACCGTGCACGATTACTCACCTCCACGCCTTGCGGTGTGCCCAACGCGTATATCACTGCATCGGCGACGTCCTTGTCGCTCAATTTCGGTATTTTGTCGATGATTTCTTGCACCTTAATCGCATCCCTCAGCAAATCCGTTAACACCGCTCCAGGACTGATACTCTGTGTGACGCGTAACAAGAGAATAATTCAAATCGTAATTAGTACAGTGAGAAATTCGAATGAAGCAGTTGAGACGAATTGTAGTCTCGATTTTGAATTTATGTTAACCCTTTGCACTCCGTAGGCTCTCAGTCGCCACTCGATTTGGCGCAGAAAAATTATGGAGTACAATATTTAATGTTAAATTTCGCGTGGTGCATTAATATGTGAAATATTCAAATAAAACAGCCTCTTTCAATTTATGTACGGTTTCTCGTGAAGCCAATTTCAAGAAGTAACTATATTTCATCGGAAAGTGTTGGGTACTTTTGGAAAACTCTGAGTGCAAAGGGTTAACTGTAGACACTGATCACCGGTTTCTGCTTGGAAACAACTCTAAGACATTAAATATTGAATACCAATATTTAGAAATTAATAAACTACAGCAACGTTAGAGACGATGATTAATCACTTCATCTCACAGTTCTTACGATAGCGAGTTTCTTAGAACTGTTTTCGAGGAAGTCGGAACGTAAGTGCTATTAGAAGTAATTAGGAAGTATTAATAACTTCATCTCGCAGTTCTTACGTTGTACCGTCATTATCTTCGGTAAATATCGCAGATACCTCGAGATTCTCGTGACACTGAACGTGTTGAATATTGCAAAGCTCGAACTTGTTTGATCGAACGATTCTTACCGTTACTTTGATGTCCAAGCCGGTCTCCTTGATTTCGTGGCGAAGTTCAATGGTCAATGCGTTCAGCGCGTATTTACTGGCACCGTACATGCCAATTGGTATCTGTATTAACTCCGCGAAGTGACCCGCCATGCTGGAAATTACGAATTTTCGTGAATATTCGTGTATATAATTTGCATGGCAATTGAATGTAAAGTTTTGTACGACAACTTCTATTGGGATCATCGGATGCTTCCGAATATTTGGATCACAGCGTCTTTACCTGTTGATGTTGACTAGGTGGCCGACTGCTTTACGTTTCTTGATCGATTGCACGAATTCTCGTGCGCAAACTGCTGGGGCCACGACATTGGTCTCCAATGTCTTGCGATAGTCATCCGCGCTCATTTCTGTAACAGAACATTGACACTGCATTTACGGAACTCGCGAATTTCACGGGTATTGGATTTTTGAAACATTAGCAACGGTTTCAGTCGATTTTGATTCGACGAGGAACACGTATAATTTTCGCGATTTATATAGACGAACGCGTAGTTTTCTGGGAACAATACAATAAAGTGTAAATCAGTTTGAAAAATTTTTCGTAGGATATAGGATAAAATCAAGCAATGACTAGTATACACGTCGAACATAGAAAAAATCTCAATAAAATATATTAAAGTAATGAACTTAAAGAAAAATTGAGAAAGAATTGCACATTTATTTGGAAAAGTAAGTAATTGATCGTTGAAAGGTTGGTATTGTTTAACTGATTAACTTATAATTTGAGAAAGAATCTGGTCGATGTTTAAACGACAGTTAAATCTTGTAAATTTGAAAAATAAAATAATAGTACTTTGCGAAATCTGTACGTTGAAAATGTATTTACAAAAGTATGTTTACGAAAGACAGATGTTTCCTCATTGTTGCGAGTTCATTATTCCCGACGGTGTTGACAGAGTTCAGACTGGATTCGAAAGTTTACAGCGATAACGTGTATCTCCGAGTTGAAATGAAGGTCGCCATATAACGGTTAATGACCGTGAAAAAGAGAACTTGTTTGGAGGTGCACTGGCCTCTGCTCTGACTGTGTTCATGTACAGGGTGTCCTTATATCGAACAATCGAACTTTATGTATTTGTTGCATGGGAAACGATAGTTTAGAAAGATCTATCTAAATATCAGTTTAGATCAAACTACGTCATTTTCATAAATGATAACGTACAATTATTGAATTTCTATAAAAACCCTGAATTCGAATATTCACTCAACGCGATAACTCCCGACATATCAACTATTCATTTACTGTAACAATAAAGCATATAATTGGCAAGAAATGTGTGCTTCCAGGTCAAATTTAGAACGGTTTAGTCACGGTTCCATCCTACCGGTGAAAATTTCGTTGTATCACGTTGAAGAAGATAAATTAACCGTTTGCCTATAATTACCTCGCTAAACTATGCACACTAAGGTATTCAACTGCTTTCTAGCAAACCCAATTTACTGTCTTACTTTTAGTCTCTACTTCTCTTATCCACCCTAGTTTTCTAATCTTTAATTTTAACATCATTTCACAAACATTCATACATCTGCAATCATCATGAACAGAAGGAACCGTTTACCAATGATTTTCGACATCTCAGCGACAGCGGCGTTGTTCACGAGAATGTCAGCGCCGCCGAGTTTCTCCTCGATCCATTTGAACGCTTTCAGAACGTCCTCTTCGTTCCTGATGTCGCATTCGACCGGGTAAAATTTATCCTTGCCGAGTTCCGCGGCTAGTTCGTCGAGCTTGTCCTTCCTCCTCGCGAGACCGACCACTCTGACGGAATCGTTAACCAAGAACCTCGCGGTCGCCGCGCCGATCCCGGCGCTCGCGCCGGTCACGATCGCCAGTTTTCCGTGCCAACGTTTCATCGTTCGCGATATCTTCTCGCTGACTGAACGGCTGCTCCGCTCTTCGCAGCATTTTAAATCCCGCACACTGGAGATACGTTGCAGCCGGGCTGCCAACCAGCGTCGAGCTCGCGGATACGCCGTCAGATTATTCGGCGTTCTTCGAACGTAAACGAGCCGTTATTACATAAATGACAGTGCCGGTTCGTCGTCGAAGGGTGGACCGAGCTGACGATTGAATACGTCAAGCGCCACGAAAATCTTAAGCGTCTTCCTATAGAGTTTGTCTTTCGTAGCAAAGAAAAGTAGGAATACTTATGAATTGTTTGGCGTTGCAACGTTCGCGTTACGCTATTATCAACTCAGTTGCATTAAACATTTTTATTTCACGTCGGTTGTCTTGTGTGTTACGATTGTTTTTTAGTCATTCAGAAGCGTCAGCCACAGTGGCTGACATGGCGCTTAACGTGTTAAGGGCATCTCGGATCACGGTCAGACGCGAGATTCAATTTTCATTGAACGCGCACACGTGGGAAGTGTCGGTTGTTCGAGCGATTAATCGACACTTTGCGTACTAATTAACACTAGGTTTACGGAACGCGTCAAATCTCCAGTTTCCACAATCTAAATAAACGAGCATCGATTCTTTTAGGAATAATAGAATGAAGTGTACGATAAATGCCCGTGAACTTAGTGTTAAGTAACTTCTCTATAATTGTAGCCATAAAATATATTATTTCATCGCATTATGATGTTTAAATATATCGTCACAAATTCCAGGGATGAGTATGCATTATTAGTAATCTGTATTATATTTTCTAATGTATCGTAAGTAACTGTAAGAGATAAATAGATTGCGATATAAAAGTAAAAACGTAGAAATCTCAATGAAATTTTAATTGATTAATTGAGTAAACACTTTCGTGTTCATGGTGTTTATATAATTATAATTACATAGTTAACTTGAAACCGTTGGATTTTCTTTATTACGTGTACTGGTAGAAAGATAATCTGATCAGGAAATGGAAGAAAATGTTTGTTACCAACTATGTGCAAACGGTGATACTAGAAAGAAACGAGTTTCAATTGCATGGTCATCATGTAATCTACACTAATGCAGCTATAAATAGGACGGGACACAATATGGTACACAGAGGCGTTATTCTATAATCTTTTATTCGTTCTATCGTACAACTTTACTGCGTCAAAACTGGCGTCCCTCGTTTAGGGAGCTTATTTGACGAAAAGGACTTAATAAACATGACTACTGAATGGTACAAATTACACAACGTTGCACCAGCACGACTGAACTTTTACCAGCTTATCCAACTTTGTCCATCTATTTACTCGCTATTGAAATTCCCATTAATGAGTTCTGCGGTACAATCGTGAGTTCGTAAACCTGGGAAACATAATCATAAATAAAATCCATACACTGGCGTTTGAATGAATAACGAATATTCCGTACCTCTGCGCCTTCTGGTGCTCCTATCGCGTAGATCACTCCATCGGCGATGTGCGAGTCGTACAACATTATAGCACCGTCAATGCCACTAGCGTTGAGTATCGATGTCAGTAAGTCCGTCGATACAGCGCCCGGACTAACACTCTGTGGAAATGTAAACAATCATCCAATTTACAACCGTGAATTTGTATTAAACGAAATATACTGTACATTGCGCGAGAACGTTTCGTATGTTCTTTCAGTGTCATTGTTATCGACTAGCCGTTTCGCATATAACGTTGACACGTTGACTGCCTTGTCGGTGACGGACGCTTCAGAGTTGCTTGACAATTATATGTAAGATGTCTGAGTACCTTTGCTACGAGAGGATAAGTCTTACGTAAGACGCTTGAAATTTTTGTGACGGTTAACGTGTCAATGTTCATTGTTCATGCGAAACGAGAAGCCTTCCACGTGTAGAATGATGCGAACAACGATTTAATAAGACGCGGATGTGACACGGCAAGAAGTAAGTCTCTCGATATCGGTCCTGTAAGGTGAAAAGGTCAATGCGAAGTAACATCTTACCGTGACTCTTATGTTCAGCTTCGCTGCAATTATTTCGTGACGAAGTTCCGCGCTCAGTGCCGTCAAACCGTATTTACTCGCGCAGTACATGCCGAGTGGCATCGTAAGAGTTTCCGCGTAATGCCCGGCTATGCTGCAAATTCGAACAGACCATTTTGTTTCATATACGGTGTCAATAGTTAAGTAGTTTATCAGTTTCATGTAATTAGTAGTTCATCGATTTTGTCAATTTTATATAGTTCACGAAATTCTATTATGATTATTCGTTTGATTATTCACTCGAAATGATTGAAGCCTCGTAATGAAGTACTCTTATCTTAAGGAAGTCGTTCTTATCTCAAGGAAGGACGCGCGACTGTATTTATCAAAACTCATTTTCCACCTTGCATTAAGTTATGAAATACGCGAAGATTACAGACACTAACGGTATCAGCAGTTTGTGTTGTAGATACTAGTGTCTACCGTGACTAGTCGAACAACTGATTACAAGATAGTGGACAAGTTAGAGGGCGAATTCCTCTTAGCGCGAACAGAGATGAAGAAAAAGGGGAAAATTGAAAAGCTAATTAATCCGATGATCTTAATAATCCAAGAAACGCGGAATATTAAATCACGTTTCGAAACCGATCTTATATCATTATATAACAATTGAAATCTCAGCTTCTTTAAAGAAATAAGACACTGTTTTTCTCATTGAAACGTTGCGCAGTTTTACGAGCAAAGATTAAGTAACATGTGCATTAAATCTGCGTAAATTTAGGACGGTGCTTACCTGTTAATATTGACTATATGGCCGCGCGAGTTACGTCGCTTGACCGATTTCACAAATTCCCTGGCGCATATCGCGGGGGCTATTAGATTAAGGTCTAATACCTTCCGGTATTCTTCGGTAGGCGAATCTGCAAGAACCGTGATGATATTAAAACGTACCACTACAGGCAAAAAATGAACGCATTCGTGTAGTATGCAGATAGTTCAAAGAATCGTTCAGTATAGTTCAAAGGTTCATCTTTAGACATTAACCCTTTGCGGACGAAAATTGTTGGAAACATACAAAACCTTCAACACATGAAAATTATATATCAATTGCTTAATCAATAGAAAAAAATTACGTGCTGATCTCTTGCTGTTTGACTAGATCATTTGTCTATGACTTGGTCTTTCAAATCTGAACGTTTCATCTCTCCGAAATGACGACGTCCGTTCGCAGAGTTAACACTTATGTAACTCCAGCTTCATTATCATGTCCAAATGTTCACTCTTTAACATCTACACACGGCGCTTTAAACATTCCCAATTTCCAATCACTAAATTAGAAGCTCAACATACAAATGTAACGGAAAAGGAACAGATACTAGAATATAAGTGTTAGAATTATCTAGTATTAATTAATCACTGGTGTTACTAGCGTAGTGTTAAAGTAATGTAGTAACTAGTATTAATTAATCACTGACGAGTATACAGTCCAACACAAGGCGAGTATAGTCCAAAAAATCGGCGTAGACATTTACAAAATGATATTTCTAAGATCCAATATGCGTCTATTTGCATTCCGTAAACCTAGTGTTAAATATTTCTCCATCGAGCTCGAATTCGCTGATTCTTACCGATGATCGGTGCGGCGCACACTACCCCCGCGTTGTTCACCAGAATATCAGCGCCGCCCAGTTTCTCGTTCACCCACTTGAAAGCGTTCAGGATGTCCTCTTCCTTGGTGGCGTCGCATCGCACGGGGAAGAACTTGTCCTTGCCGAATTTCTGGGCCAATTCCTGCAGCTTGTCCTTCCTCCTCGCCAGGCCGACCACTTTGATGCTGTGATCGATCAGGGATTTCGCGATCGCGGTGCCGATCCCGGCACTAGCGCCGGTCACAATCGCAACTTTGCCAGCCCAGGTATTCATAGCTAATGCTGTCGCAACATTCATGCTGTCCAGTTGCACTCGGCTACTTTATATACGGGATCTAGCTACTTTTTTGCAGCCGGATACAACATGCGCTTGACCTTCTCCGTGAAGGTCATCGGGATTAGCCGAGTCTGTACGCTCGTTGATTGTCATACGGAATGCGGATAATGATAACAATAAACGCGGAATCTACGGGGATAATGCAGTGTCCTAGTTTTAACGCTAGAATTACTGTAGCAGACAAGATAACTGGTTTCAGTTCTTCTGTTTCGCAATTATTGATACCTTCACAGCATTGAATATTGTTACAATTTTTATAGAGGTTACATATAGAGTTGCGTTGACCTGAGAAGAGAAAAGACCTGCACACTGCGAGCTACATCGTTTCTATTCATTTCTATTTCATTCAATTATCTATTCCTACGTTTCTTTAAAATAAAAATATTTAAATTCCATTAATACTACACTAAGTTCATGGGTTTATCTAAAAAATTCCTGTATCCCGTTTAAACGAACTATCTTATCTCGAGCTGTTACGTCGCCGCATTGTGAACACTGGCAATGAGCACAGTCTCACATCAAGGAACTGTCTAGTCATGGCAGAATGAAATGGCAAGAATGGATCTCTCAATGTAACAATGTGCAACAATGAATAAGTGATTCCCAGATCACTGCTAAAAAGGCGACACTCGTTCCGATCAATTCAAATCACTTTGTACGAGTTCGCCAACTTTATTACCTCACCGTGTCGTAGTTTCTGCGGGCAGAGTTGGTAACAGAGGTGCAATATGCTAAGTAGCATAGGAAACGCGAAGCGCGCGCCTTTCGGTTTCGAAAGAATTCGCAGAATCACCAAACGTTGATCTAAATCAGGATCGTCGAACATTGTGCTCCAAAATTTCGGTAATGTTCGTCTTATCTCTATGTTTACGGATGTTTATTCTATTGTTCAAGGAAGAATTCATGATCTTGGAGCTTTAACGCTAGGTTCATGGACGTTCAGTGTACAGTTTATTTTATTTATCCAGGAAAGATTCACGTTCCGTTTAAATCTAGACAATTAGGGATTTAACACTAGAGCTACTTAATAGGTCAAAGTGATCTGTTCCTGACCGATTACAATCTTACGTTTACAATCGTTGAAAGGATGACAGATGATTCTCTGAGAAAATTGAGTAATGACTCGGGACATGCTGAATCAACGCCAGACGGAGCGAGATTCGGTGTTCACGGTCACGTGGGAAGTATAGTTTGTTCGAGCGATTAGCTCTAACTGCACCGTCACTTTGTGTTAATTCCTGTCGTAACCAACCGAATAATGGATTAGGGTACACAAGGAAACGAAGTGGAGGATACAATTATATTTATTTATGCATTTATTCCGATTACATAATTAACTTGAAACCGCTGACTTAGTATCGTCTACGCCGATGGAAAGATTATCCGATCAGAAGCTCTTGTCGCCGACTATACACAAACGATGATACTAAACAGAAACGAGTTTCAATTGCACGCTTGTTACGTAACCTACGCTGATGTAGCTATAAATGGGATGACACGTAATACGCTGCAATGTGGTGTTATTCCATCGCGTTTTATTTATTCTCTCGTAGAACTTTGTTGTGATACAATTGGCGTTTCCCGGTGTTCAGGCTAACGCTAACTTAATGAATATTAATAATGAATGACATAAATTACAGAACGTCGCAGTAATACGAATGAACTTTTTGTACTAGTGTGTACTCTAATTATATTCATTTCTGACGCGAAATCTTCTGTAACATTTGTCGTTTGTCCTCGATGGGAAACGCGAAATCCATCAATCGAATTTCGGGGCGCCGACCGGTGCGTTCTGCGGTATAATTGTGAGCTCGTAAACCTGCGAAAGATACGTTAATTATGAGTGCGATCTGCATATACGAAATTTGAATGAATAACGAATGTTTATTTACCTCCGCGCCTTCTGGTGCTCCTATCGCGTAGATCACTGCTTCGGCGATGTTCGAGTCGTACAATATCGGAACGCCACTGGGTATGTTATCAGCCTTCAGTACTGCTTTCATCAAGTCCGTCAACACGGCACCTGGACTGATACTCTGCGGAGACGTGAACATTTATAATTTCACATTTGCAACCGTGGATTTGTGTTTCTTAACCCTTTGCGGACGAATGTCGGCATTTCGACGAGATGAAGTGTTCGTATTAACGCTAGAACTACCGTAACAGTCGAAATAACTGGTTTCAGTTTTTCTGTTTCGCGATTATTGATATCTTCGAAGCATTGAATATTCGAAATGGCTTTGAAAATAAATTGTTTCACTTGAATACTATAATGATTGTCTGAAGAAATCGAAAATAATCTATTACTACAATATTCATAGCGATTACATGTCAATCGTATCAAATGACTGGTTTCGATTGTTTTGTTTAGCAATTATTGATATCTTCGAAGCACTGAATATTCGAAATGGCTTTGAAAATAAATAATGATTTAATAAGACGCGGATGTGACACGGCAAGAAGCAAGTAGATGTCTCTCGATATCGGTCCTGCAAAGTAAAAAAGTCAATGCGAAGTAACATCTTACCGTGACTCTTATGTTCAGCTTCGCTGCAATTATTTCGTGACGAAGTTCCGTGCCCAGTGCAGTCAAACCGTATTTACTCGCGCAGTACATGCCCAGTGGTATCGGAAGAGTTTCCGCGTAATGCCCGGCCACGCTGCAAATTCGAACAGACCATTTTGTTTCATATACAGTGCTAATAGTCGAGTAGTTTATCAGTTTCATGTAATTAGTAGTTCATCGATTTCGTCAATTTTATATAGTTAGTAGTTCACGAAATTCTAGTATGATTATTCGTTTGATTATTATCTCGAAATGATTGAAGCCTCGTAACAGACTACTCTTGTCTCAAGGAAGTGGTTCTTATCTTAACAGTTGACGGACGGGTCGAATCCACCCTGTCTTTCCCAGTTTCCGGGTGTATTTAGGGTATATTTAGTTACCTATATTTTAGGTATATTTAAAACGTGGCCCGTCCTAGGAAGTCACAATGGAAAAACGTAAATTTACGTGGCCCGTCCGTTAAGTGTTAACGAAGGAGTTGCAACTGTGCTTATCAAAATTTATTTTGCACCTTGCACTTGAGTTATGAAACACGCGAAGATTAGACTGACACTAAACGCTCCGACAATTCATATCTAGACACTAATTGCTACCTTAACCAGTCGGACAGCTATTTAGAAGATAAAAGTGAATAAGTTAGACGGTGAGTTTCTGTTGGCGCATACAGAAACGAAGAAAAAGGCGAAAATTGAAGAGCTGATTACTCCAATAATATCAACAATTAAAGGAAATTTTCAATCACGTTTTGATACCGATCATTCGACCTTATGCGTGTATTATAGAATAATTGAAATGTCAGTTTCTTTAAAGAAATAGGACAGTATTTTTCTCATTGCAACGTTGCACAGTTTTACGAGCGAAGATTAAGTAACATGTGCATTAAATCTGCGTAAATTTAGGACGGTGCTCACCTGTTAATATTGACTATATGGCCGCGCGAGTTGCGTTGCTTGATCGATTTCACAAATTCCCTGGCGCATATCGCGGGAGCTATTAGATTAAGGTCTAATACCTTCCGGTATTCTTCGGTAGTCGAATCTGCAAGAACCGTGATGATATTAAAACGTACCACTAGAGGCAAAAAATGAATGCATTCGTGTATCATGCAGATCTACGTTCAATATCATTCAAAGACTCATCTTACGAGATCAAACCCTTACGTATCTCCTTATATTCATTAACACTAGTACTACCGAGCATTTAATACGATTGATATGTAATCTCTATAAAAATTGTAACAATAGATTATTTTCAGTTTCTTTGGATATTCATAGTACTCGAGTGAAACCATTTATTTCCAAAATCATTTCAAATATTCAATGCTTTTGTTAATAATTCTGACTGGTACGGTAGTTCTAGTGTCAATAAATACACGGAACTTTAAACATTTTAATTTCCAATCACTAAATTAAAAGCTCAAACTCAAAAGAAACCGTCACTGATATTTTTAACTGATACAACCCTCAAATACGGAAAACAAACAAATATTAGAACACTAGAACAAATGAATCAATGACGAGCGTACAGTAACTAAAATAAATAGCAAACTGAAAACGAAGATGTGCATTCGGAAAACTGAATAATTAACCTTTGCACTCGGAAGTTTCTTACTAGAAATATTTAACATCTTTTAACTAGGCAAAGACGATACTCTTTGAGATTAACTCGAAGAGAAATCGCCAATATATCGAGGAACAAAGCTATTTTATTCTAATATTTCACGTATCAAGGCACTATACAAAGTTCCCCATTAAATATCAGATTCTACAGTTTTACTGTATCAAATCAATGGTGACTGAGTCACCTCCCGAGTGCAAAAGGTAAATTGTCGGAAAAATAATTATTTTGAGTTCCGTATACGTCAAACACTGCTAACTACTTAATGTTCCTCTAACGAAAATAGTCTATCCAACAAATATTCCATTCGCACTGAACTGTTCCGTTAACACTAGGTTTCCGGGCATTTATCGTACACTTCATTCTATCATTCCTAAAAGAATTGACGAAGAACATTTACAAAATGATATTTCTAAAATCCAATATGCGTCAATTTCCGTAAACCTAGTGTTAAATATTTCTCCGTCGAGCTCGAATTCGCCGATTCTCACCGATGATCGCCGTGCTGCTTCCTACCCCCGCGTTGTTCACCAGAATATCAGCGCCGCCCAGTTTCTCGTTCACCCACTTGAAAGCGTTCAGGATGTCCTCTTCCTTGGAGGCGTCGCATTGCACGGGGAAGAACTTGTCCTTGCCGAATTTCTGGGCGAGCTCCTGCAGCTTGTCCTTCCTCCTCGCCAGGCCGACCACTTTGATGCTGTGGTCGATCAGGGATTTCGCGATCGCGGTGCCGATCCCGGCACTGGCGCCGGTCACAATAGCAACTTTTCCAGCCCAAGTATCCATGGCTAACGCTGTAGAAACACTGATGCCACTCTGCTGCTCGCGGCGACTTTATACAGGAAACTTACTCGGGGTTGTGCAATCGTGCGTCACTTGTGCGTAGTGTCCTTCGTGGTGGCCATCCGGATTGGTTGAGTCTATTCCTACTCGGACTATCACACGGAGTGCAGTGGACGATAAGTTTCGAACGCGGAAACCGCAGCGATAAGTTCGTTGGTTTATCTGAAAAATTCCTGTATCCTGTTCAAACGAACTATCGCATCTCTAGCTGCGACGCCGCTGCATCGTGGACACGTGGCAATAACGATCTTGTTGCAAGGAATTGGCTAGTCACGGCAGAATGAAGCGGCAGGAATGGATCTCTTGTTGCAACAATGTGCAACGATGAATAAGTGATTCACAGATCGCTGCCGAGGAAACGACACTCGTTCCGATCAATTCAAATCAGTCGCTGCGAGTTTGCCGACTTTATTACCTCACCGCGTCGTAATTTCTGCGGGCAGCGTCGGTGGCAGAGGCGCAGTATGCTAAGTAGCATAGCAAGCTACGCGAAGCACGCGTCTTTCCGGGTCGAAAGAATTTATAGAAGTGCCGAGGGTTGATAACCTAGATCGGCGTTGTTGAAGCTTCTCACGTACCAAAAATTCGCGGTAATGTCCGCCGACCTGCCGAGCTTTAACGCTGCGTTCGTGGACGTTATTGTGCGGTTTATTTTATTTGTCTGGTAAAGATTCGCGTTCTTCCTTTCAGATCTTGGAATGTCTCGTTTTTGAATCGTTGATCTATGATTATTTATAAAATAATAGATGATTTTCCGGGAAACTTTTAACGCTGGGTTCGTGGACGTTATTGTGCAGTTTATTTTATTTGTCTGGGAAAGATTCACGTTCTTCCTTTCAGATGTTGGAAATTGGGGATTTAACTCTAGAACCTAGTGAGTCGAAATTTCTCGTTTCTGAATCGTTCGTCTAGGATTATTAAAAAAATAATAGATGATTTTCCAGGAAACTTTTAATGGTAGGTTCGTAAAGAATGCACAAATTATAAAAGAATATCCTATAATTATCTATCTTATGCCTCTGTCGCAAGAAATCCAGTTATTTTCGTTTTCGTATCGCTTTATTTACCGTTCAATTAAAGGGAACAAGTCTCACTCGAGTGAACGACGAACCTACTTTTTTCTCCGTACTATGAACAGTTCACGATATTCGGTCTCCATTCAGAATCAAATCCCGCTTGGTATCGAGAGTCCCATGTACACGTGGCGAGGTATAACTGTTATTTCGAAGATCTGAAACGAATAATTCCCATGTTCCTCGCATGAGAAAGAAATGCATGGGATCTTACCTCTGCACTGTCTGCAGCGGACAGTGCCTGTATCACAGTATCTGCGACATCTTTGTCGTGCAACATCGGGATCTTTTTGTCAAATTCATCTACCTTCAGTGTGTTCCGCGACATCTCTGTATAGACGAGTCCTGGGCTGATGCTCTGTTGAAATTTGAACTGGTCTTAACACTTTAAAAGTTACTTATGACTTTATCCTTTGCAAATCTTTTGTTCGTCACAGGCATTGTTACGATAAAGTATTTATTGCTCGTTACGTTTGACTTATCTCGTGTACTTTATCTGTTAAACATTATGAAATATCATGGAATCAACCGTGAATGTCTATGTTAGGTTCTAAGATTACACAAGAGTGCATGATAGATGATTATCTATAGAATGACTCGACAAACTAGTATGGAACGAGTTTTCACCGTTACTTTCACGTTGAGAGTGCTCTGAATCATCTCGTGACGAAGTTCCGTGCGCAACGCGATGAGTCCTGCTTTACTAATGGCGTACATATTGAAAATTTTGGGAACCGTTTCCGTGTAACGACCGAGTATGCTGTAAATCGTATAGTTTCGTCATGATTCCGCTGATTTCATTTATATCAACCCTTCGAGGACGAACGACGTCAAGCTTTCGTGTTGAGAATGTAGAATTACAGGCGAATAATTGAATTATTCAAATGACCAATGCTCGATACGTGGTTTCCTTTTTTCTCGAGTACTCAAGAGGTCAATGGATCATTGACCTTCCTCTGCTGAAGGTTTCAAAGACTTTGGAAAGTCGTCCTCGAAGGGTTAAACCTCTGCACTCGAGAGGCGACTCAGTCGACATTCGATTCGAGATAATAAAATTACTAAGTGTTATGTACGATATTAACCCTTAGCACTCCAGGTTGTCAATCTATCAGCAACTGCAATTTTTATAGTATTCCTAGCGAAAGTGAGAAATATAACATTTCGATCTTTTGTTTTCCTTAGTGCAAAATTTGGATGTATGGAACATTTAATAATTTTAGGGTAGTTTCTTTAAGATTCATTAAAATATTTAATATTATAAGTGGTGCAATATCGGAGCTTACAGAGTTCAAAGGGTTAAGTTCCCTAGAATTCATCAATATATGAGATATTTATATGAAACAGCTTTGTTCCTTGATTTATGTATACTTTTCTTATCGGAAAGTGTTAAATATTTCCAATGAGAAACCTTGGAGTGCAAAGAGTTAGCAATTCTTATTTACCCATTTAATTGTCATTTCTTCCTTCAGAAGATACCCGAAAGTTTTTCACTGGAAATATTCAACATTTTTCAACGAGATACAGACGACACTCTTTGAAAATTTAACGATAATTCATAGATAAATCAAGCGACAAAGTAATTTTATTTAAATATTTCCCATAGCAATAGAAAATTCTATTTCAAATACTAAATTATTTTATAGTTTTGCTGTATCGAATCAAGTGGTGACTGAGAGTCAATAAAGAATATTTTTCTTGATAAATATTCATTATTTTCTGATTAAATATCAATGATATGTTTTGCAACTGACATAAAGAAATACCTTGTATAAATTAAGTGACAGAACTAGTTTATTTCGATGTTCCGTGTGTCGATACATTATACAAAAATTTGATTATTTTGTTCGGTCGAGTCAAACGGCGATTGAGAGTCACCTCTCGAGTGCAAAGGGTTAAACAGAAGAACTGCTCACCTATCGATATTTATTATATGACCGCACGCATTGCGTTTCCTAATGGATTTAGCGAATTCCCTCGCACATATCGCCGGCGCTATTAAGTTAACGTCGAGAATCCTTCGGTACTCCTCGGTTGGCGTTTCTGAAGCACAAGTCAAATTTGAGGAATATATTCTTCCAGTGTAAAACTACTGTGCATAAATTACTCCATAGAAATTCAAACGAACAGTAGCACGATGATCATGCTAAAAAGCTGCTGCCTCATCGAATAATTGGGACTCCGATTGGATGTTTTAAGCGGGACTCTAACCTTGCTGTAATTGTCGAGCACAGTGTATCACTTTCAAACAAAACCTTAGTATCTTGCTGCAGCGAAGAACAAGAATCTCGCCTATTATCGCCGTGAATCATCAGAAATGACCGGCAATTATTGTTACCGATATAATTCTGCAAGATCATGGAAAATATAGCAAGTAATACGCTTCCTACCTACATAACGTGCCCGCACGATTCACCAGGCTATAATTAACTCGTAATTTATTGAACACTAGATTTACCGAAGTTTATTCCACGCTTCATTCCTGGAAAACTATACGTTCGCTCGTATAGATCGCGTGATTGCGATCGAAATCGATACACTCTTAGCAAATAATGTTTAACCCCTTGCCGTACAATGACGAGCGAGACTCGTGATGAAGATTTCTAGGCTAATTCAACAACAATCGATATTATTCATTACCCACGGATCAAAGGAAACGACTATTTTCCTATTATCATTGTATTATCTTCAAATGAAATTTCCAGCTGAAGTAGGAAAATTTTGTTGTATTTCTTACAAATTGATAGTAAAATATTAGGGGTTAAAGAATTCAATATCCGTCAAACTGACGCGTTCTGTAAACCTAGCGTTAAGAAGAATTACTTTGCTCGACCAGTTGCGGTAGGACCGGGAATTTTTGAAACTCTGAAACTGTTTCAATGAGAAACTCTGCGAGTCTCGAGTATTGGAATAGGAAGCTAAAATATCAATGTCTCGTTCTATGGACAATTAGTCATTGACAGCTTCAATGACAGTGTTAAAAATGGTGTCACTCGTATTCGAGTAACGTGGCAGTCAAAGTGCTAATAGAGTATCAAAACGGTCTAAGCTATTTGTCAATCATCTCCGAATATCGAAGACAGTGTTACCGATGATCATAGTCGCACTGACGACGCCAGCGTTGTTGATCAATATATCAACGCCTCCCAGGTTGTCTTCGACCCAGCCGAAAGCCTTCAAAATGTCCTCTTCCTTGGAGAGATCGCATTGAATAGGGACAAATTTGTCTCTACCGAGTTGCTTGGTCAGTTCCTCGAGCCTCTGCTTCCTCCTCGCGAGACCCACCACCTTGACGCCGTGTCCGGCGAGGAGCTTCGCGCACGCGGAGCCGATCCCGGAGCTTGCGCCGGTCACGATCGCCACTTTTCCAGCCCAACGATGCATCGTTCGCGATGTGCGCCGACGAAACTGATCAAAATGCAGCGAGCCGCGACTTTATAAAGAGCTAATTACTGTTTATCGTGTCGCTGTCAATTAATGTCGACAATAAACGTGTTACTTTGAAAAAATGGTAAAATGGTCCTTCGCGATGTCACTCCCCAGCGACGCGTTCGTTCGGTCAGTTGACGAGGTGCTCGATAACGACGATACAAAGGTTTCCGACGACCTCGAGAGTCTCGTGGAATTTAGAATCGAGAACGTGGGAAGGGCTCGTTGACCGGTTGTCCCTCGGTTTCGAAAGGGACGGCTCTCGAGCGGCGTTGCTTGCGACCTACGCGTTAGAGGAACCTTGGAGTCGCTTCGGTTTTCAGCTTCTAGGGACTCGTGTTTCGAAAGTGAAGAAGTTCGGGGAAACAATGTCACACGGTATGGGGAAGGCCGAGCTGAATCAGGAAATGGAAATCTGGTTTTTTGTATGTTTCTCAATTTTTGTTTCTTGAGGGAAGGAGATTTTGGATTCTTTTGTTATTAACCCTTTGCACTCGAGAGGCGACTTCCAGTCAGATGATTTGATACAGCAAAATTATAAACTTTGGTGTTTACCATTAACACTAGGTTTACGGGCATTTATTGTAGTTTATTCTATTGTTCATGGAACAGTTGACATTCGTCTATTTAGATTTTGAAAATTATAAATTTAAAAATAGACGATTAGAATATATATTCGTGTAAATTGACGCGCTCCGTAAACTTAGTGTTAACTTTCGTGTACTGCATCGATACGTGAAATATTGAAAGAAAATAACTTTGGTAATTTATGTATGATTTCTTGTTAAATTCGTTTCAAAGAATGTTGCCTACATCTAGTTAGAAAGTATAGAATACTTCAAGTGAGAAACTTTCGAGTGCAAAGGGTTAAGGCGAGTGTTCTTGTCTCGTTATGAAGAAATTCTTCGGAGGGTTAATTATAAATGACGATGGAAAAGTTCTGGCTTCTCGTTTTACGATAGAATTATAATTCTTTTGGTGTTATTTCGGAAATCGTTAAACTGAGGGACTAATTGATAGATTTCGAAGAGGTGAATGATTAAAGGAGAATCTGACAGGCAATGAGTAACGATGACGGTGCACCTGAATCGAATCTCGAATTCGGGACACGTGTTTCTTAAAGGGGAAGTTTACCCAGAAAGATCGTGCAAATGGCGGTCGTGTCGCTGGACCATTCCGGGCGATCTGTCAAAACGAATCGCGTTTATTCGTCACGGGGAATCCCTGCAATTTATCGGCGAGACGTTTCAATAATCTCGAGACGCGGCAATGATCTCTCGCGGACTTACGTCTGCGTTACCCGAAAAAGAAGTGTGATAAATTCCTTAACAAAAATTACTCGTTCCTGATCTCTTCTTTTTACAATCGTTAACCCTTTGCACTCGAGAGGTGACTCTCAGTCATCAATTTGATTTAAAATTATAAAGTTTTACATATAATATTAAGCTTCGTATGATGCATCAATATATGGAATATTGAAATAAAATGACTTTCCTTCTGAATTTATATGCTTTCTCATTAATTAGTTTCATAACGTGTTTCTCAGAGAAATTATTAAGAAAATTGATTTAGCAATACGCAAACTAAATTGTAAGTCAATTAAAGTCTCAATAGACTCACTCTTCGAGTTTCTATAGACATTTCAAAAATTTAATTTAAAGTTAAAGAGATAACACGTTTCAGAGAAATCATTAAAGAAATTGATTCATCAATACGCAAACGAAATTCTAAATCAATTAAAGTCTCAATAGACTCTTCGAGTTTCTACAGAGACATTTCAAAAAGTTAATGTAACTATCCGGTAATTAGCGTTAAAACCCTGACGTCTTATAAAATCATCGACCGCCGAGGATTAATAACTGTCGTTAAGGTGACTTCGAAATACGGGTAACGACGGGATGCATTGTAAAAGGCATTCTGCGACATCCTCCTGCGTGTAACAAGGCTGTTTCCTGGATTCCTGCCAGAATCAAGGCTGTCGAACGAGAATCGACTTCAGGAACTCGAGGGGATCCTGCCCCACCTGCAATGACGTTTCACATCATATCTCCGTTGATGCAGCTCGCAATTTCCGGGACTTCCGGAAAGGACACTTCCACCCAGAAATCAACTCGACGTCGCGGGACGTAGCTGGAAGTAATGAGAGAATTATTTCGCGTGCCTCCGGAATATTCAATTTATTCGATCCCCGGCGCCGGAAAAAAATCTACCGAAACTTCGTAATTGCCTCGCAATCATTAATATAACACTAGCTTTACGGAACGCGTCAATTTGACGCAGATTGTATTTTATAAACGTTATTTGGTAAATGTTTCAATCGGTTCTCGTTGATTCGATTATACGAACATGAATCCTGATTGTCTATTTCTACGTCTACGATTTCCAAAATCTAAATGAACGAATATCAACTTCTCCAGGAACAATAGGATAAACTGTGATAATTTAATCTTCGCGTTCTACTACCGTATTAACGGTTACGCCGAGCTTTCCTCCGTGAAACCGCGCTGAAAAATTCAAGAGCTCGTTAACCGTCCGCGATAACTGGTAATTACAGTCGAATATGGATAAAATTGATCGTTCGAAACTCGTTAGTACTGATTGAATATTTTTCTGTGTTACAATGTTCACTGCATCGTCCTGCTGATCGTGATAATTATTGATAGTTTAACCCTTTACTCCGAAGTTTTTCACTGGAAATATTTCAACATTTTCTGATGAGACGATATTTTGTAAAACCAACTCGACGAGAAATTCACATGAATCGGCGGAAAAAGTTATTTTACAGTCAAATCAAATGGCGACTGACGTTGAACTTTCATGCCTGAGCGTATGAAAGTTGAAGTTAACTGATTACTTAATTTTATTCACCACTTCGAGTGCAAAATGAAATAAATCAACAAGATGCCAATGTACTGATATGTGACTTTAAAGTTACAGAATTCTTTATTATAGAAATCAAGTAGTGAGTGAGTCACCTCTCGAGTGCAAAGGGTTAATAGCGTTGGATACCTGAAAAGATTCGAAGAATTCGTTCAGTACTGTAGTAAATATGCGAGGAAACTGATAAACTGATAAAGAGTCTATTGTTAGAAGTTCGATAAGAATTGCATGTTAATCGCGTTAACTGTTTGGCAGTTCTAGCGTCAGCGTGCAAATTGAACGAACAATCGAATGTAGAAGCAGCTTCAAAGTTTCTTTTCGAAGAGGAATTAGAAAGTCTAATTAACTGATATAACTTAAACCAATACTCGCTATTTAAAAGTTTAAAGTGTCCTGCATGTACAGAACAATGTGCTGAGTGGTTAATGAAAATATTTTTCAAAGCTTCGCGGCGTGTTTCCCGTTTTCTTCTTTGTTTTCCGACGAAAGTAAAACAGGGGATGAAGAAGCGGACGCCAAGGTCGGCGTCGGAAATTCTCGAACGCGTCTCGCGATCAATCCCCGCAGAATTATCTCTGTTTCGCTAGACTGCATTCTCGACTTACGATCGCGGAACGTGTGTCTAAGGTGGAGCGGACCACCTGCCAGATAAACGTAAGGAAGCGGCGGAAGAAAAGTAGAGATATAAGGGAGGAAAGTATAAAAATCTCGAGGCGAATTCTTGCTTTCTGTTATCTTGAGGGTGAGAGGTTATCAAATATAATAGAAATATACGTTTCGTTTGTTGTGCAGCATGTTGAGTCGGTATGTTAGATAAACGAGTCGCTCAGAGGCTAATGGGGTTAAGTGCAGACGAGAAAAATTGAGGAAATTAATGTTTTGGTTTTTGAAACGATTATATAATTTAGAAGCTATTAAAGGAAGAGTATTCTGATGTAGGAAAAACGAAAAGTAAAGTGTCGATGTCCTAGTAGTTTTTTCGAAATATTCTCCATTCTTCCATAATCCATCCTAATTATTTACTTTTGGATTACTTACTCATAGATCGATGGCAAATCACCTCAATTATCAAGAAAAAAGAAAAGAAATTTCGATATTCCCATAGTTTCTTCGAAGTATCCTCCATTCCACGGTAATCCATCCTAATTACTTTGCCCGTTGATTTGTTTCGCGATCTGTAAGTGCAACGTGTTGCACCGTCGCGTTTAAATGCATGGCGGGCACAGTTTGCGGAGCCAGTTTTATGTCAAACGTTCACGGATTCATTTCGCCAGATGATGAAGCAACCCGGGATTGAGAGTTTCCAGGAAAGTAGAAGACTTTCGTGAGCATCGTGGGCCAAGCAAACATGGAATATTGCAAATTAAACTCGGCTTCGTGTGCGGCCTGGCTATACCTTTTTCTTGTCCCTCGCGAGTGCGAAGCCTTTATTTGTGCAGCCAGTTGCCACTGCACTTTCTCGCAGCGCCATTCTTTCGAGGGTTGTTATACGCTGCGAATTGTTCCACTGTTGCGGAAAGTTGTATCAAAAATTCTCAATGTAATATTCCTCCCTGAAATCCTCGCATATGATCCTTGCAATCAGTCCACTTAATTTATTCAACGCTAAACCTACCGGACAGGTCAAAATAACCCATTTCTGATTCATTTGCTTTGCAATGATCCAAAAGATTTATCAATACGCAAATTCTCAATATCATATTTCTCTCTAAAATCCTCGCATATGATCTTTACACTCAGTCTACTTAATTTATTCAACACTAACAATACCGGACAGTTAAAAATTACTCATTTCTGATTCCTTCGTTTTGCAATTATCCAAAAGATTTATCAAACAGAATTGTAAATCAATTATAGTCTCAACAGATGCATTCGAGCTATAAAGGAATTTCAGAGTCAATTCAACTGCTCGATAGTTAGTGTCAAAGTCTTCGAGTTAACATTGACTGCGAGAATCCAGAATACTTCGTACATCACGTATTCTCTATTAATAAAGATATAAAAACTAAACAATTCTCTTCAATAATCTCCAAGCAATTCGAAACTGTCAATGACGACACCTCAATCGCAAGCCCATATCATCCAAACCGATCAAAACACGAGAAACCTCTTACCACCTTCCAATCTCAAGCACATAGGTACACACCATCAACCTTTTCGCGTCAACTGTTCAACTCCAAACTACACCAAACCAACGCTTATCTGCACTTTCAAAAGCTATCTGCCGTCGATCGTTTACACGATCCTCAACACAACACGGATTCCTCCGAACCAGTGTCCCTTATCTAGCCGAATCCCGCTACGGAATCGCCTGAAAACAAAATTTCCCAAGCGATTCGTTGATCTCGATAGATATCTCCGCGAACCCGTGAAACCTCATAGAACTCGTAACGAGGACGATCCGCGCGCGCGCGGGCGCGCGAGTGGCAGGGTAAACACGCGCGATCGAGAGCGCTGAAAAGATGAATTTTCATCGATAAAATTGTTCGCCGGGGATAGTTACTGCACGGTTACAGCCGACGTTGCCGGACGGCGGACGGGGAGGAGGCAAGGGGTTGGAGAGGGATATCCGAAGGGAATTCCGAAGAAATTTCCAAGTTGATTCGCCGCGGACGGAAATCAACGACTGCCGTTACTACGCGCCGGTTAAGAGAGAAATTCTTTCCTTGAAGTTCCGCGGCTCCGCCGTCGAATATAGGTTATCGGGGATGTAAG